AAATCCTTATTTTTTTCTTATGTTTATTTAAGGTTCCGGGGAAGCGGTGAGTTAAGTGATAAGATATGATAAATTGTAAATAAAAGATCACGAATTTAAAATCTTTCATTTATTCAAAAAAAAAAAAAAAAGGTTCTGTAAGTAGAAAAAAGAAAACATGTTCCTATTTTAGTCTATTTCTTGACCAGAAGAAGGTGCTCTTGAGTATGTCTGTCCTTAAAAAGCTTTCGAATGATACTCTGGTAGCCAACTCAGTCATCAAGGCCTGAACAGTCCAAAGCTCCTCCGCGGGAAAAAGTTAGAATGAAACTTAGAGAGAACGGTTCAAAGGGCCAAATCAAAGTATGGAAGAGTACTGCAATTGGAGCTGTTAATTCTCTTTTTTTTTAAGAAAAAAAAAGGTACATGAAACATGGATCATGAGCGAGGAAGGTGGGAGGAAGCAGCGCTACTCCTTCTTCTTGCGAGAAACGAAATTTGATTAATTAAACCTAATCCCAAAAATAGCGTTACTCGATCTATCCAAAGTTAAAACTTGATCATTCTCTCGATCCCCTTTATTCTTTAATCCCTTTTGTTGCTGTAAAAAAATTTTGGGGGATCATTTCAACAGTGTGATATTCAACAAGCCAAACTTTTTACTACCTCCGTTTCAATATTAGAGTCTTTTTTGATAATACAACTTTTTTTTTCATTCAAAACACTTTCTGTCAAGTTCTGAAACCTAATACAGCGGAACAACGTCCGATCGCTATTGGTTTGTGACAAGAGTGACTGAATCAGCAGCTACTAGCTACAATGTGACGCCTCAACAACCTCGGTCAGAATGCATATAAAATTGTAATCTTAGGTCCAAAAACATATACTACTATATAATATGGCATTCGTTTTTGGCTTATCAAGAAGGCCTCGGGATTAAAGTAGGAAAAATGGATCAATAATATATTCATTTCAAATTAGGAGTTGGTTTTTAGGATGAAGGGTTTAGCACTTTTCTTGGCCACTTTTAGGATGAAGGGCCGCCGCTGCCAAGAGAATTCTTGATCTCCTTTGAAACTGTCCTATTACTAGCCATGCTCGAGTCTTGACCAGAAACACGTACGCGTCTTTATTATCATCATTGTTCAGACGGATACGACCAACATGAACTACTACTCTTTATTTCTTTATTATCATCTTTGTTCAGACGTATTCCTATTCTTTATTTCTTTATTTTTTTTCCCCATCAATTGTGTATATAATTAAATAATCCACACAGATAATAAATAAGCAGATATGATATAGAGCGAGCATTCATACCGATTACAGGACCCTAACGCAAATATTGTTCTATACATTATCGTCCAATACACAGAGCAAGAAATTCTAGTAGCCCATCCTTGGTAAGCAAGAAAATAATCATAGTCAGAAGGCGAACCAAGTATGGCTGCTTCTTCAAGAATTACCACTAATTTTGCAACAATGGGGCAACCTGATCAGAGGCGCAGGAGTACTCTTCATCGCTGCCTTCAAGTAAGAGCCCAGCAAGGATTTGGAGATGAAGGTGACCAAATTAAATGAGAATTAAATCCACTTTCTGACTATCACATTAAGTATACATGTAGCTCTCTTTTTCCTTTTCTTAAAAGATTTATGATCAACTAAACTCTGCATTTCTGCTTTGTTCAATCTGGGCAGGAAGGTCAAAAAAACACATTGATGATGCAAATCTGCGACTTCTGAGGGACAGAATGGAAGTGGTTAGGATAAAGGAGAGTCTGGAGAGGTGTTTTGATGTGGGTGATGACACTCATTATCAGCATGCTGGTTGGAATGGTGGCTACGCACCAGCACTTGCCGACCGCTATAAACATCGAAATAAAATGACGCAATCTGATGATGTTCTTGAGCTTTTAGTCATTGTTTGCCGCACATTTGGGATCACTGTTCTCAGCGGTACTCTCTGCCTGTGTCTTGTGTCCGTCTTAGTTCACTTAAACCACTAATGTTTTTAACAATTCTAATGCGAATGCTGACAGGATGTGCATTTACAGATTCATGTATATTCATCCTTTTTAGAATGAAATGTGGTTTGTGCTTATATGAATGATTCTGATCGGAGCGGTTTATGAATTATGATAAATGTTCCATTTAACTGAAAAAAGGATGGATTCCGATAAGATCGAGTTCAGCAAAAATATGTCATCTCACCATTCTCTAAAATCCATGAAGGAGTAGTAAGCATAAAGTGCGATGGCGTGGGCTACTAGAATCCGAGATAAGCTGGGAGTCCGCCGAGAAGTTGTAACGATTTGAGGAGCTTATATAGGCGTATGAAACTAGTTAAGGTATCAGGGACGATCGTTGTTCAAGTGGGAGAGGAGGACATGGATTGCATATCGACCGCGCGCATCCATTCCTGAGCGGCCAGACATGCACTACTGTACATAGACGAATAAGAGAAAAATCAGAACCGTTAGTATAGGCACACCTTACTGTAACAAACAAATAGGAAGTCATGGAAGCTCTTCCAAACGTTATTAGAAGTATATAAAAAGCCTTGAGGCTTTCGGACCACTCTAGGTTGTTCAAGAGTCTTGTGAAATAGATTAGAGTTTTGTATATAAAAGTTTGTCTTGTATAGAAAATTTTAGAAACTAAATGTAGGAAAACATTTAGTGTAGAACATTCTAGAGTCTTGTAAAACTTTATTGACTTGCTTATAAACAAAACAAGCCCCTCATTTGTAGAAGTGTTTTTTCAAGTGTAATATGAGCTTTCCTTTAGTCTCCAATGTTTCTCTTCATTGCTCATTAGTTTTGGCTTCCACACGATATCGCGCAGTTGGAGGTTAGACTGAACTAGTAAACCGTTTATAGTTTGAGTTTTAAACAATTGCTAGTATCGCACGACGTGTGTGTGTGTGGTTGTAGGAAACTAAACAACCCGTGACACTAATCAATCAACTGTGTCATACGGGCCTGGAAATCGTCAAGAAGGAGTTGACAACGAGCTCGCAAAGGAATAGCAGCCTGCTGTTCAGGAGCCCACTCAGTTTCCAAGTGTCAAGGTGTGTCCACCTTAAGAAATACGGTCAACAACTAACGAAGAAAACAAGAATAGAAGAACAGGTCAAAAAAAGGAGCGAAAAACAGATGGATTAATCCAAGTAAAAAAAAACATCAACCTAGAGCAAAAAGACGAACAGGTAAATCCAGAGAGCCGAAGTGTGCCAGTACGAGCCTTTCTTCTTTAGGTACGAGATAAACAAGGCTCATGCGGACTTTCGAGTAATCATTTTGAACGGGTTGATTTGATTTTCTAGGTAACGCAGCAGGTAGATTACGGCCACAATGGAGACCAGAGATGAAGCCGGAACAATTGCTATTGGTCTCTGAATTTCTGCAAACATCACTATGCTGACGAAGACGTCGAGTAAAAATGCCTCGATGAATGTGATGATTGGGTTCAGTGGGATACACTCATTGAAATTTCTAGTGAGGTTTGTGAAGTTGTGAAAGAAAGGGATTAAGGAGATTTGTAGTACTACTACCAGAAGTTTTCTTTCCGTCAGTATGGAACAGGTCTGAGAAAAACACACACAGTGATTACACCAAAATTAAAGAAAAAGGGCAAATTGAGGGGATCGTTTTCAATTAATGAATGGGTGGAGATTTTATTAAGCATTAATCATACTGACATAAAATTATTTACAAAAATACTCGACCAGACCTGATTTACAAAACAATCATACATATATTTATTTATATTTTGATTCATCATACATCACCCACAATCATACACTCATTTCTTATTTGTAACTCCCATTGTACAAAGATCTGCAACCTAGTACTTTCAAAAGAAACCAGGAAATCCAAAGAAAGAAAAATCCTGCTCCAAGACTCATGCATTTCTCCATGTGGCCAAATTGTAAAATTACGAAGACCTTCTACTAAACTTTGCAATTCTTTATTTCCAGCGACATTCACAAACCCTTCAGAAGTCAAATCTGGCTTATCGAGTTTAACGCTTGGTTGCTTATGATTACTGCCAGCAATAGATTCACACGTCTTACCACCAATTCACATGAAGTTTCGTAATTTACGCTAATGAACTCTAAGCGCTGACCAACTAAGCATAAAAAGAATAAGCGCAATTAATACAGGTTGAATATCACCTTGGTTTGCCCTTACAGGATCTAATACAGGGAGTCCGCTCTCTCCCTTGAGTCCCTTACATGATCTAATGCAGTACCTCTACCTCCATGCATCAATTATAAATTATCACGTAGACGTTGAGCCGGCACCAAGGGAAATTTTTTACTCCCCGCTTGTATCAAGTTTGACCTAAGAGTTAACCTGTGGGAAGACGGTGATTATTTTGCCTTTTGGACCACCAAAATTTGTCCTGAAGTAGGTGAGCTTGTCGAAAACTTCTGGTCAAGTTCGGTTCATGAACTTGTGTATTCAATCCTTCAGATATTTTTAATCTGTTAGAATTAGATTTCAACCAAATGGATCACACCCGTTAAGTTGCTGATTTTTTTCTTAATACTAATGGTTAGTGATTAAACAAAAAAAAAAAAAAAAAAGACCCACTCAGTGCATTCCAAAATTCATTTATGTAGCTAATAATGGTCTATTGATTACGTGCTTGGTAACCTGAATCTTGATTGGAGGTATTCCGAGCTCAAGTAATTGGTATTAAATAAATTTTAAAAGAATATACTATCCCAGCAGGCGAAAAGGACGCAGTAACACAAACAGCATGCAACTCAACGGCTTCATTTTTCACCCAAAGAAGCGCTATTTACTGCTTGTGGACTGCTCTTTCAACAATTCGCAAAATCTCCTTTAGCCAGGAAAAGCAAAAGCTAACTACGTATACAGCTAAGCTCGACTTAATTACTAATTAGATTGATTCTTGATTATGCTTATATTCCTACGCAACCATGATTCGCATCATTTGCTGACTAGTTGATGATAAAGGTCAACTGCATACCCCTTTAGAGAACTAAGGAGACATATCTGTTTCCAAAGCTATTGCATGGCTTTAATTTCCTCTCCAGCTATTTTAGCTCTAAAGCTGCCATACCGGAAAAGCAGGCCTCGTCCATCTCTGCTGGTGAGATCCCACAGACATGAAGATGAAGGTAATAAATTTAAGAGTATCATTTTCCTGAACTGATTTTTGGTTGCAGGAGTACCTGCAAATGCTTGTCATTTTTCCCATCATACATTTGTATATGATCTTCTGATTGAAAGGGAATTAGTCAAGAAAGTGCTGCAGTAAATTTTTTTTGTTTGCTTAATATCTTATCAGCAGGGAGATCAAGCCATGGCATGGTGGATGCAAATCTGTGGATTCTGATGAACAGGATTGCAGAGGTTAAGATGAAGGAGAGACTGGAAAGATGTTATCAGACTGACAAGTTTGGATGGAATTATGCGCAAGGAGTACCTGCATGCAACAAGTCCAAAAGACCACCAGAGCCTTTCCAGTATGTTGAGCTTGCAAGCACCGTTGGCGGCACGTTTGGTCTCACAATCCTCAGTGGAACTCTTGGTCTTTGTCTTGCTTCCATTTTAGTTCATCTGAATCAATTGTGATTTATGAACCCCTGACTGGCACATCCTCGGAGAAGAAGATTACAGTTGAATTTGTTTATTCATTCATTCCTTTATTTATTGTTGGTCTACTGAATTCTCCATGATGTGTTGTTGTGAAGTTCCTGAGGCACCGTGACTTAGTTCTTGAATCTGTAGATTCTTTACTTTCAATTATTGGTCAAGTTATATTAAGGATCCGAAAGAATCCCAGCAGTCCTAGTAGCAAGGATAAGGTGTACTGGCCAGCCAGCGCTCCGATGAAGTTTACGGTTCAATCAGCGATGTCAGAACTCAGGACAGCTGGAAGCACAGTTCCTGGTTTTAAGCTGGTGCGGGGGTGAGGGTGCTGTGCCGAGACATTCCTTTATTGTTTGGATATTGTGTAATAGGAAATTGCCTGCCTAAGGACAGATTAAAAGGTTGGAGAGTGCACTTAGAATAGAGTCTGATAAGTGTGCTTTATGTAATGGTGCTGATGAATCCATGGCACATGTTTTCTTTGATTGTCCAATATCTAGCATGGTTTGGCAGAAGATGCAGTTGTTATGTTCAATTGTTAATGGCAGGTTGTCTTGGGATGCAGATTTGAGATGTCTTTACGAGCACTGGCATCCAATTCTTTTTGGTTTTTTTCTGCTGTGTTGTATCAGTTATGGAGGACTAGAAATCAGGTCATTTTCCATCAGCAGCAGCAGCAGCATGTCTCTGCTGTTCTTGATTCTGTTAGACATGTTGCTGCGGGGCAGGGGAAGCTCCTTTGATCAAGACCAGCTCCCTTGGCTTACCTCATGCGTGTTCATCCTTCCTTGCGCAGGAGTCATGCTATTCTCTGTATCGTTCCAATTTCATCGGATGTCCCATGACTGAGTTGTTTACTGAAATGGTGGTAGGATTCATTGATAAATTCGTGTGTGTACGTTTGTTTCTATAGCATATATTGATTCCGCAAACTTGAAGTACGGGAAACATTATTCATTATTGATCCGCTATAATCAGAGTTATAGAATATCAAGGGATGCAGATTTTGAAAGAGTAGACGGGACCAAGACTCCTTTTCCTTTTTCATCGAATGAGAAAGGGAAATTTAAAAAAAAAAATTAAAGGGAAATAGCGGATGAAAATATTGTGGTTAGGGAAATGGAAGTTATACAAAATCTTTCAAAAAGGAAATATGTCATTATATAAGCATCGAGGAATCTAAAATACTAAACCATGAATGATGATTCATAATTTATTCAGACTTTTTTATGTCGAATTTTTTTGTAAATCGTACTGAAGACTCGACGGTTAAGCTCACAAGCGAAAATTATGACTGTTCTTCTAAGTATTTCCCAGTCGACAATTTCTTCTTAGCTGAATATTTCTATGCTTGCCACTGGTAATTTGATCCAGTAATCATCACCATAATGATAATGTTGGAGGTCAGGGATTAATCCCTGCCTTCCACAATTTGGCCACAATATGTGGCTGGTCTTAGTTGACCATTCCCTGTCTCTTTTTTTGGATTAGGCTAGAGTACGTTATACAACATCTATTATTGTCGGAAAAAAAAAAAATTTCTGCGCTTAATTTGACGAATGAGACAGTATGGCGTAACAGGACTAGACCTTCCGGCCGAATGAGATATGACGTAACTGGATTAGTCAACGAATCACAGCATTCAATCTCTCTTAGACAAAAGTGAATCTACCGTCCTTTATGACATTACATCAGATGATGGAGGTCATAGAGGAAATGCCAAAAATCGGATCGAACGCCGGCTCGACCGTGAACCAATCATAGTTCCGATCTTATTCATATCTCGGATTGACTGGAGTTAAAATTAAAAAACGATCAGAATCATTTGAATCATGCGAATCGGATTAAACCGTTGAACTGGCGATATTTTATTTGTCTATTAAATTGAAACATATATATATATACGAATAGATTTTCCTTAATTCTAAAAACTAATTACTAAATGTCACATCCACTCACTTCTTTTTTTTTTTTTTCATTTTTTGCCTTTTATCAAGTTTGCATAACTGTTTTCTATTTTCCTAACTATCTCCAAATTTCAAACTTTTTTGTTTTAAGTTGTAATATCTAAATGCCAAAAACATGAATTAAAAAATTTAAAAAAATTTAAACTCATAATGTCTAATTTTCATGTACGTGAATTTTGTATAATTTTAGAATATTGTGATATTTTTTAGTTGAATTTAAGATTATTTTTAGTAAATACAATTGAGATTAAAATAAAATTTATTTATTACAACTTATAATTTAAAATTTTTACTTGTGAAAATTCAAATTTTTTGAAAATATTAAACTTTTGATCATATAAAGTCTTAAATTAATCTACTGCATGTCTTATTTTGTACATATATATTTCTATAAATTATTTTTTAAAAAATTCATTAAACCAGAATTGAACCAATCCAACTGATTGAATCTTGATATGAACGCCTCACCAATTCAATTAACGATTCGAGTTTCAAAACATTGATTTCACCTTAAGGACACATTGATAATGGAGGTCCTATAGATCAAAACACGTGTTTCTTCCTTGGTAATCTCGTGACAACAACTAAAAGATCCACATATTGCGACCGGTTAAAGATACATATCCAGAGAGGAAAGAGTTAGCCCTCGGAAGCGCAACTTCATCGCAGTCAGGAAACAAATCAGTAACTTGCAATAGACTAAAACAAGACGCTCGTCATGATGACCTTAAGAGGATCTGAGCACAAATCCTTCTCTGTTTGGACTAAAGTTACCTTGTCCAAAAATTTGTATTACCCAGACATGCCTCACATTGCAAAGCAGAGACATCAATAATCTTGACATAAATTAGCATCCTCGACAAAGTCACAGACACATTCATTGAAACATGGAATTCCTTCAAAGAGAAAGAAACTAACTCAACAAATTACGGACACTCAATTATTCAGTTCCTTTGGAATGCCACGGTAGCAACACGTGATCCTACTGATCCTCCAAACATAAATGTTGGGTATGAGCGAACATGATCAACGTAGCGGAACAAAGGGGGGTCTCTATTTACCTCTTGGTCTCCACTAGCTCCTAGCTCTTGGGACGGTGAATTTCTTCTCTGATTAAAAGCATCAACTTCTTGCACCAGTTCATCTTTTGTACTGTTACAGGAGGTAATCACCTGGGAACCATGACAAATAAGAGAAGAAGATATGATGAAAGCTCAGAAGTTAATCACTTGCACAAGAAGCAGAACTTTCAGAAACCAAAGACATGCATAGTTATTTGAGTATTAGGTAAGAGGTTTAGCTTCATTCAAGCAAATTGCACTTGACAAGAATTAGTATGTTGGAAACAATACAGAGAAGCTCACCAATAATCCACCAGGAGCCACAAGACTTGATACTGAATCCCAGTACATGATCCTTGAAAAAAAAAGGGGAGGTGAAATCAAAGATAGAATAGTATTCTGTAGTTTTTACATCTAACCAGGATTCCAGTAGATAAAAATCAATTTACTGAGACATACAAGGATACCATGATTTTTTTCAGACAGCTTAAAAAGAAAATGAAAGAAAAAGTGCAAAATAATCCTAAATAGCCCTAATAAAGATGACACACTCGAGTATCGGAGGAAAAAAAATTTAACATCTTCAGCAAGGTTAGAGTAATTCACGCCAAGCAGATGGCGACAGACCACCTAAAATGTCTCTTTTCTATAATCTGTTTTTCCTTCAATAAATGAACTTGAACAGCACTAACAACGAAAGTATAAATTCTCTCTGTCTTTTAGTATAATTAGCTCTTTACTCTAAATCTTCCACAGAATCAAACTTGATGCTCGCACAATTCCCTCTCCCACAAAACATTTGTCATTACTCTGCAAGTCACTGGTTGGTTTTGAGATGCTACAACTTGGGGACTCTCTTGAATGCATATATCAAGTGACAACAGAATAAATGCCAGACCTTCAAAACAACCATAATACCTTTTCACAGGACCATCAGGATGAAGTCCAATAGCATCTAAAGTGCCTTTATCAACAAGAAGCTGAAACTTCCTGTCTAACTTTGTTTCAAGAATGTCATCAACCTGTACCATTGAAAACAGAGAGGCTTAACTGCAGAGCTAAAGAGAACAGGTTGAGAAGAATAATGTACTTAGTGTGTTGTACAGAATATGTGTTAAGGATAAAATCTACATGATAAAATCTGAAAATATTTCAAATAAGCATCTAAGATTTACATTTTAAAATCATAAACATCCACTCGAAATAATGAATTTTTAATTTTCACCCCACAACCACTTCAAGCGATCACCTGCCCACCATATAGGAATAGGCACTGCATCTTGGTGCAACCACCAACTCAACGGGTACTTCTCGGGTTACCTAGTGCTCATCCAAACTGGCATCACTTCATACCAACCAAGCAATCATACTTGCAGTCTATGATGTTACCAACCTATCCTTGTCTAAGACCTCATCAATCAGCAGAGTACCACATTTTGCTACAACCATGTCTCCAGCCAAAAGACACCCCACCCCATCTCAAGCTCCTTCCAACAACAATTTAAGAACAATTTAAGATGTTCCACTTCTATGTCAAAGCTTTTGAGTTTCACCCTTTTTACCTACTTAGACAACATTTACCATAGATGTAAAGAAAAGTTAAAGAGAATCATCTAAAGACAAAATATGGAGTATTTTCTTCACAAGCTATATCACTGACAAGGTGACAAAAAGTAAATAGCATTGAAAGTGGTGGATAAGTTACTTTTATGTTAAATTTCAACCACTTCTCATACCAAGAATTTAATATTAGTGAAACCGTCACGATGCGCAAGGCTCCGAGCAAGGTCTATGGCACCTTCACTATAATCAGTTCCAGTAAGATCAGAGAACCTAAACCCAAAAACATCAAATGTTAGTTGATTCAGAGCTTAGAAAATCAAAAAGATCACATGCTAATGACGTGGCAACAAAGTCTCATTGATACAGTGAATCTTCAATGATAAGTCAAATATGCAAACCTTCCTTGTTGATTCATTCGCATTGATAGCGGTCGACAACTATGGAAAATATCTCAGAAAATCAAACTTTTGTTTACAAAGAAACGTGTGATGAGTATCATCAGATAACTTGCCATTCAGGTTCATCAGAAATGAACAGAGCACTAATAACTATAGGGCTCCCAGACTCCTTCAACACGTGTACCATCATATCCAGAAGGGGTGAGGAAAGGAGAAGTTTTAAAGACCTATGCAACCATGTTCCTTGGCTTTACTTCACAAACAACATGACATTGCCCCACAACTCAAGAATTAGGTTAAATTCCTACAGCTTTCATTTTTTTATGAAAATTACACTATTTACCCTTCTTGTTTTAGTCAAGGTCTTGCAAAAAAAAAAGCAACTAAATTCGTTAACAGAACATTAATTCTGGGTTAGACATGTTGAGCACTGACCGTTTCAGGAAAAGAACTGTTTGCTTTGATAACCAAGAACCTAAAGAAGGCCACCTTAGACCCACCCTCATTTACCAAACTTGGGGGAACTGACCCAACCAGTCACTTCTAGGATGTCATGTATTATATAATCATGCAGATTTTCTCTGGATTGCATGTCATACATAGAAACAATATTCATTATTCCTATGCCCTTTCTGTGCATCCGTTAAGACAAAAGTCTATGTTTTCTCCTATTTGTTCCCAGGTTAGTCTGGTTTGAATGCTAACTCCTTGAACAATAAACTACAAGATGGTACTATGTTTCTAAGTAGAGAGACTGGATGTTAAACACAGAGAAATTTTTAATATTTGAATTTATATGATTATTACACATCAAGATCGATATACAAACTGGTGGGGAATGTTTCAAAAAATAACCCTTAAAATAGAGGTTTTTCTGTGTAACCATATCTGGAAAGGCCAGCAAGGTTGCTGTTCAGCGTCTATGTCATTCTCTCCCTTTGTCCCAACCCTTCTGTATATGAACAAATGTCGGTGAAAAAGAGTCTGAATAAGAAATATTCTCAAAATAGTTGAACCAAAACCAACAGCAGACTCGAGATTTGATAGCTGTGGGGCCCATAACTTTCAGACAAATAGTTGAACCAAAACCAATAGCAGACTCGAGATTTGATAGCTGTGGGGCCCATAACTTTCAGACAACATTACGAAGAGTACATTCTGATTTTTGAACAAAACCTGGAAGGATGGAAAATTGTGGTAAAACAGCATTAAAGACTTCACTGAAAATGTCAAACTTTTAAGCAATAAACTGAGTTTTGCACTGTTGTAAGGCAAATGCTCCGACCTGCTTCTTCCTACTTCGACAAGTATTAAAAAAAGGTCAAATCACAACTATGAAAATAACAAATTTTGGCATTCCAAAACTGTAATGCCCCTGGTTTAGCACTTGATACAGGCTATAAATAGCTTCTGAAAGACCAACAATATTACCCCTGCTTGGCAAGCTCTTGGAGAAGAAGCCCATTTCCAGTCCCAATGTCAAGCACGCTCCAATTAAAAGGTTCCTTCTCAAGCTGGCCAACAGATTCACAATTGGAATCATCCACGTGGTTTGACAAGTGACCTTGAGAAAATTCACCACATAAGCTTTTTGTCCAAGAAGCAACAACTTCCATAACATCAGCCCCAAACCTGCCCACGAAATCAACTCTCTTTACCATAACGTCATCCCAAAAAGTATTTGAAAACAAAATACTGGGGAGAAGACTGAACCCTCTATCATTTCCCAACTTTTCTTTTGTTCTTTTTGTCTTACGGGTGATAAAATGGAGGTGCGTCTTATGTGTATCCAGGTTCACATGGACATACTACACTAGGGTTGCTAATTCAAGTAATCCAAAATGGAAATTGAAAAAAAAAAAAAAAAAAACTCTGCTGATGCCTTATTGGTCAAAGCTAATGACCTATGAAGCAGATGATAATGCTTACCAAACTTCACCAGCATGGCCATGTTCACGAAAATTTGTTAGTTCATCTGCATATTGAGCGTCCCAATAACTCTGGAAACCCAACATTGACTGAACTGCTTCTGCATCAGGCTCCTCTTTGTCCGAACTACTCTAACACAGAACATTTTCCAAAATATCCAACTTCAAAATTTGAACTTTATGAACTAAAATTTATCCTATCAAAAACCTCAACAAACGAAAAGAACTATATCCTGATAATCACCTAATAAAACTAACCGAGCTGAAAAACCGAATTTTACAATAAATGCACATACTACTAGAAGTGTATCAGCCTCGTTAATTACGAGGATTCAGAAATTTCAAACATCCCGCATTGCATAATTTTCCCCCAGCTAATTGATCCAAGCATCTAATTCTAATCACATATAGGTGGAAGCAAAAACGAGTGAAATAACTTAATAACCTGTAGTCGGAGGCGGCACGGAAATTGGCGACGGAGAGTGCTTCGGAGGCATCAGCGTGACGTTGCTCATCGTCAAGAGTACTCCCGTAGTCGCTTTTAATCGACCAAGAGTCCGCAGCAACCGACCGGTCGTCGTCGGAGATCAGATCAGACGAAGCTGGCGGTCGAGCTTGTGAGGCGTCAGGGTCTTCCGGCTGAAGTCTGATTCCAGCCATACGCAGTAGTGGCTGTGTGGAACAGAGAATGAGTGGAGAAAAAGCCCTAAAATTAAGAAGAGGAAAATGGTTGAATTGCAGATTGTTATTATGATGATGATACCCATGAGAAGCGACTATAATAAAACTCCTAGTTGGAGTGTTGCCAGACTCGATTGTAAAAGTTGACCTTTGACCTTTGTTGGAGGCTGAAGATGGACAAAATTCATTTTTGGCCCTCCAAGATCCTGTTTATTACTAATTGTTCCGTGCAAACTTTGAATTTGCACAGTTAAGGCACTAATGCCCATGATTCTTTTATTTGTGAAACTAAACAGTTCTTATTCTAAGTATAGTTTCAAATTATGACGTTTTAATTCAATTAAAACTGAAATTGTTGCCATGTTTAATTATAAAAATTTTGTTGACACTATTAGTTAGGACCCCCCCCTTTTTCTTTTTTTTTTTACCTTTATCCCATTCATTTATGCTCTCGACATGAGCATTATAAGAGGGTTGCATTCTTTCAATTATTTAAAATTTAGCCCTATGCATTTCAATTCTCTTACTATAAATTTTTTGTCCTAATTCAAAGTATCTTTTATAAGCATAAGATAACACTTTCCCCTGTTTAACACTAGATTAGCTTCCTCGCATCTCTCTAACACTTTGATCCAGATTATGTAAATAAACATCAAAACAGAAAAATCATCCATAAACACTTTTTTAAATATATTTTTTAATATTCCATCTTTGCATATGACTTTTTTTTTTTTTGTTTGAGAAGAAAAATAAAATCTTGCATTATGAAATTCTGGTTACGTTGAAACCACCCTATTGTATCTCCAATTCCATGCCAATTAGTGATTTAATGATGGTAATGATTTCATGTATTTATGCATTATCATTTTCAAAACTATTTGCGTACGAAATCCCGGACTTTCAACAGCCTAATTCTAAAGGAAGAAATAGGCACGCACTAAACCGATTCACTATAATTAATGGCGAAATTTCTATAATATGCGGTCCAGAACCGGCAAGGTATGTCGGTGATGAATATGAAGAACTTTTATCGTCACAATGGTACTCGTACAATTCCACAACTACTGTAAAAAAGAAGGTCTACATGCCATTTGATGGAGATACTTCTCAGACAATCATATTACAGATCGAACAAACGGGTAACCGTGGAGACCAAATCTTCGCGTCTACTCATGATTGACTTCAAATCTCATCGAATGAAGAAGAATTGTTTTTCACCATAGACTACACTTATCACTCTGCTACTCCGCTACAAATAAATGGAATTAGTATATGTATAGCTTTAAAAAAGAAAACAAAAGCAACTCTCTCTCTTTTCTAAAACAGAAGAGAAATTAATTGACTTCAGTCACTCACGACTGGATCTCTCTCATCTTGAGCAAACCGGTTCTTCAGCTATAGTCTCTAGCAAAGGCTTCTTTGATCTGCACATAGACAATCTGTGCCTGAATTCAGGCGTTGAAAACTCTTCAATGTCATCCAAATTCAACTTGGGTACTGCAGCTTCAGTGGTTTTAGGCTGAGGCTGCACAATTTCTAGCGCCGCCGGGGCATTGCATTCCGGCAAGATCCTCACTCTTTTCAGGGACACCCTTTTAGCAGACGAGTTAGCTTGGATGAACAAAGCTCCCAAATCAGCCGCTGTGACAACAGAATTCACTCTTTTCATTGGAAACATAACATAAACGTTGGCTATCTCCAAGTCTTCGTCTGCATTGAGAGCAGAGAACCTTCTTCCTATCTGCAGAGACTTTGTATTCACAAGAAAGAATCCGGGCGTTTCAAACATGGGCTCTGCTGCCTTCATCGGTTCGTAGAAGTGTCTGATTTCGCCACCCGGGAAAACAATCTTTATGCCGCGAGATTGCTTGCTAGCAGGCCCAGAAAGGGTGCAAGATACATAGTTGCCCATATTATAAATCAAGATGCACAAGAAAACCAGTAGTCAACTGGTAATGGTTGAGAACTTTGTTGAGAGAATTTGATGAAGAACAAAATATGTTTAATTGTGAGAGTTGAGAGAAGACTTGATTTTTTGGGACGGTGGGAGGGATAATGTGTACCCGTATATATATGTATATATGTGTAGGACGCGAAAAAAGTCTGCAGGAGAATGAGTAGGATATTCTTGAGCCAGTTGTATAAATTGTGTGTGTATAGTTATGGTTGACAATCAGTTCAGTCCGCGTCTGGTAAAGCAGAATATAAAAATGTGCGCAAGAAATCAAGAAATTGATGGGAAGGCTCATAATTCCAGTCGGTCATTTGTATTTTGGTCCCTCTTTAGTTTGCTTGAAATGGGATAACTCCTACTTTTGTTGCGCGTGGAGCCCATCTCTTTTTCTTTTTTTTTTCTGGTTTGTGTTTTTCACTTTTGTCCACTTCTGTTAAAACAAAGGGCCTGTTTGGAACCTGAGTTTTTTTGGAGTTTGTCTAAAATTTTACTGTAGTGCACTGTAGAAGTTTTTGAAAAAATTTTGTAGAAGTTTTTGTAAGGTAAAAAATTTTGTAGAAATTTTTGTAAGGTGAAAAACTTTTTTTTTTTTCTCTTTCCCTTTCTTTTTCTTTTTCTTTTTCTTTTTCTTTCTTCTCTTCTTCTTCTTCTTCTTCTTCTTCCCCGTTACCTCTGCCACCCCCAGCAGCAACTCCACCTCCCGCCGCCCCCCTCTGCCCCGCCTTCCCCCTCCCCCCGCACCCCCCTCTGCCCCCCTCTGGTCCTAAGATTCAGTCTAATGAGCAAAAAAATGTTATTCAAACGAGAACCTTCCAAGATCTGCTCAAAGACGAAATGATGAAGATTTATTTGAGTACTATGCTACTACACAACTTGTTATGGCCTCTCTGGATGGGTCAGTGGAGCCAATTGGACCACCGGCCATATATACTTCAATGGAACCATCTCCAGATGAGCAATATATTTTGAGTACTTCAATTCATAGGCCATTTTCTTTTATCGCCGCTCCCCTCTGTGCCACCCCCTATGCGCCGGACGTAGAGAGAAAAAAAAAAAAAAGAGAGGATGATGGTAGGGAAGGAAGAGGGGGAGAGGGAAAAAAAGGGGGGAAAAAAAAAAGACCGGCACTGGAAATTGGTGACGGAGCCGGCAATGGAGGTGGTGGTGGGGGAGGAAGAAGAAGAAAAGGGGTAGGAAATTTTTTTTTGTTGTGTTTTGGATATTTTAAGTGTGTAGGTTAAAAACTTTGATAAGTTTTTTAGGGTTCCAGTAGCAAAAGTTATTAAAAAACTAGTTTTATACAAACTTGGTAAAAAACCAAGCTTCCAAACAGGGGCAAAATGTTTTTCATCCCTACGCCACTAATTCAATTTCAACCGGGGCATCAATCCACTACAGAATTGGTCACTCGCCTGCAAAATTCTAGTCGTGATTAATGATTCAAAGAATCAAAACCAGTCAAAATTTTCTAACTTGGGAACACCCTGGTGCTCGAAGAGGTGTCAAATTTAGGCGAGTTATAATTATGTAATGAATATAATTGGATCAATTTATTTATATTTATTTAAATAAATAGATATAAATGAGTATTTAATTACTGAGTTATTTAAAATTTTATTTATATTTTTTATTTTTTCACATGTTGTTTGACAAGAAGTAACTGTATTTTAATGTTATTAGATTGGTAAGAAATTTAAATTTATTTGCTTAATACTCATTAAAAATTGAATTTAAATATATAATTATTTTTATATGAATTTAAAAGTTGAGTCAAATTAATCCACTTTCCACTAATTAAATGAATTTAATTGAATACTTATTTAAAACAATTCAAAATTAATGAACAGGTCTAGACAAATTCTTGATGGAGGAAATTAATGAATCAATATAATTAATTTGTAATTGACACCTCACAAGTGACAAGTATAGTAGGCCGAGAAGCAATAATTGGCTGTAACGTATCTACGGAAACGTGGATAAATGGTTAGCGTGCCCACTTACGTAAGTTTAGCAATGTGCCAAACATTGGATATGACTTGTTGACAGCGCACCAATTGGTGCCCTAAAGCAAATTCACCAAACTCATCTTTTTCGGACACGGCGCCATTTGGTGGTGCTAAGTTAACAGTTAATGGAGTTAGGAGGCGTTAATTATGTTGGCGTAGTTGCTAAAACACTTTGCAACTCGAAGTCTTAACCGAGTAATTTGTTGGATGGCTTTTTTCACCTTTTTTTTTCAAATTTAAATTTGGTTGATTAGTTCCCTTGATAGAACATTCTACTAGAAATTTTCAACTTCAGTTTTGCGTAAAAAGAATTCATTCTCTTTTTCTTTTTCGTTAAAATCCATCATTGTCCGCCCGCTTTTTTTTTTTCCGGACATAGAAGATATTCGAATTTTTGACCGGACTAATTTTCCTGCGACCCGAGAAGAGAGGTCTCATCTCCTCTGACACGTTAATCCTGAAACTCAAATTCTGATGGAGAAGATGAACAGCGCTTCTTGAGGAGGGTACGTGACCAACCGATCTACCCACGAAGGCATGTCCGTCCGCATTCATGTGTACAATTTGTGCAGCCCTAGGAGATGAAAATATTCCTCCCAATTAACCGTTCACGAGACCACATGCACGACAACAACGACAACAGCTTCGCGTTCTTTATTTCATTGTTTAAACATGGGATATTCACCAATAATTTGTAGTAGTACATAAGTGTATAAATTCGTTCAATCTATCAGCAATAGATAAACAAACATTAATCATTGATAATCTAAACCCCAAAACACATGATGTGGACAGAGCTAGCCCTGGTGATGATTGTGTTAAACTTTTTCAGCCTAAAATAACAGAATATGGATGTTTGTGGCTTGCCCTGTTCTTTTCATTGGGTTTACACTTTACACCCCATTCTAGCTTGCAGTGCACTCATGGGCCACAAATAAACATAAGAATAATCAATCACCTGCCTGCTCGCTCAATCTCTGAATTTGTTTCCGTACTCGGGGTATCTACTTGTAATGTCGCAACTTCTCAATGATGGTCCACCAGTTGCTTCTAGGGTGCGCACACTCGAATTGGGAGAGATAGGGCAACCATCCAAAAAGGTTCACCACCATGATATATATCGTTATGTCATGTATCGTACGACTTACAAAATTTTGTTCTAAAGAAATTAGATTACATCTCTCGGAATTGAACAAAACCTATTCAAATGGATTTTCTGACGATCGTTTGAGCCTCTTGTCCCTCGAATTGCTGCATTTGGCTGTATGGTAATACTTAGTACATTTTGGTTATGCATCAACACTTTGGATTTCCTCTTGTTTTTCAAAAATAAGTTTTTCAAATACAATGTTATAATAATACACAAATAAAAACAGTTCAAAAAAATCTCGAAAAAAGCTTTTAATATGTACTGACACAGTAAAATTTTTCAAAAACACCCAAAAAAAAAACAACTAATTCACATGGAGCCATATATGATTGTTTGAACTGATTGATTGGTTGGGGTTCCTTTTTCCTTTATTTTCCTCGTCTTTTCTAACCGACCCATGATTAATGAGTCCAGTGCTGTCTGTACAGCTGCAGCTCAATTTTATGGCTTCAACATCGTAATTACAGCTGTTCCTCTCTCTCTCTCTCTCTGATGGAAGGGATTACACAAATGATTTTTGAGGAGTGGGTTCACATACTTTATTTGTTAATTATTCCAGAATTCCCGTCAGTAATAAAATATTTGTTCATCACATTTTCTTTGGGAACCTAACAAGACTTTGTACGCGTTGAATTTTCGATATACCAAAAACAATAATGTTGAGCAGTAAAGAAGGAGAACGGAGATCATGGACGTAGATCCTCCAAAAAAGTTTTAATACGTTGATGGCGTGAAAAAATGGGTTGTCTATCACATCATGCAGGGACGGTGAACCTCATAATTAATCTTTAGCAAGCAGAAACCAGAAGGATCTTCAGATGAACAACCACCGATCGAATACTATGCTGAACGAGAATCGTACGGTAGTAATAATTTGTAGCTGTGTATAAATAATAAATCATTCACACTTGAGGAGAAAAATTTGAGGTTTTCTCAGATGCCAATCGTAGTCATATCGTAGATTCATAGCATAACCTGCAGGGGCATAAGGGCCATTACTATGTTAACTTCCGACTCTTGATTGATCATCTTGCGTGGGAGAACTTGCTCAACAAACAGGACAACCAGCCTTTCCTAGCAGCACTGAAACTTCCTCTAGAATCACTATGATTCCTTCAAATGAGGGCCTCAGGGAAGGATCATCGCTAACGCAGTTCTCTATCAACCTGCAAATAGCAACGATAGCTTAATTGGAGCTGGAAAGCAGCTAAACGCAGTGAACTTCAAGATGATTAACAATTCTACCATGCAAGTTATAACAGATGATCATGGCTTCCCACTGAAAACTCAAGATGATTAATAATTCTATAACTTAGTCATTACTTTCCTAAATGCTATGATAATATTTACTTACTGAACAATTCGTCCGGGACAACGGCTTAAATGGAACTTCTTCTCTGAATCAGCAAGCATGCATTCAGTGTCGATGTTACTAACATGCCTCCCGTCAAGCATCTGCAGTGCCATCATCCAAAAGAAACGGGAACAGAATCAGAAATCATGGAAAACTCTTTTAACTTTGAGTGACAGTTATCTTCTTCTCCTAATTTAAGGAGAGTCTTTCGAAATTGGCTGGTGCCAGATGCGTTTCAAATTTCTAGACTTAAAAGAGTTTTCAGGCCGTTTATGAAAGTCTGGAAACTGAAACGAACTTATAACATCTTGGTGATACAGTTATAGGTGAATGCGCCCAGTCATTGCAAAATGCCCTTTCTGATCTCGTTTATCAACTGGCTTCGGGTTCAGACTTATTGCTGGTGAATGTACACTAGGACCATAATACCCTAAATGGGCTTAAATAAGTCTGACAGACCTATCTACTTCACAAATCTTTGTGGCCCTATAACATAGAATACCCAAGAAAAAGGACCAGTCATTGTCAAATAATATAAGACGTCACATTAGATGATAAAAAGGGAATGAATTTCACAGGAATCACCTGATACAGTATAAAACCGAAAGACTGGACATCTTTCTTGGGGTCGTTTCTGGCGATGTTAATGCTTCCCAAGCTGTCGTGATTTTGTCCTGTACAGTAATAGATGGTCTTGACCTTTTCTAAACTGAAGTCTAGAAATTCGGCTTTTATAAACCTAATCCCAGAAGAAACCTCAAAAGCCGGCAACTCTTGAGGTCCTTCCAGGGACTTATAAACCAAACCCAAACCCCCCCCAGAACCGATGTGGGATGGCAAACCCCACAAGGGCAAGCCAGTAAGGCCGCTGCTGCTAAGAAGTAAAGACCCCTCACGACACTCAGTAAACTACCCTTGCATGAATTTGCCTCTTGACCTTTTCTAAACTGAAGTCTAGAAATTCGGCTTTTATAAATCTAATCCCAGAAGAAACCTCAAAAGCCGGCAACTCTTGAGGTCCTTCCAGGGACTCAGTAATAGATGGTCAATCTTGACCTTTCTGTCGAATACTTGAACAATGAGTGGTAATCTTATTAACAAACATCATGGCATACTTGAGTCTTGATTTGTGTGAATCTGCTCATAAAGCATTTGAATCCAATATTCACCGATCTTCAAATGCCCACCTTCATCTTGCAACAAGTTCCTGGGATAAGGAAGAAAAGTCCTAGTGAAAGATCAAGAAAATGGTAGTACAAGGACATGGGTTACATCTTTCTTCTTGCTTTCCTTTGGGTTACTAGTCACTTGGAATATTAGATGCTTCAAGGGAAATAATGCTCCACGCTCATGGAGTAAGACAGACAAAAAAGTTACTTTTAAGCACTCGCACTTACAGTGATCAAGCATTCTTCAGATAATTGTTTATGATGAAATGTTTTGACATTCTTCAGCCAATATCTCACGAACATGTCTAAATACGAGCAGTGTGAATTTCAATTGACGAGATGAGCTAAGATGAGGTGGGTCATGTGGAAAATGGTTTTGGTTAAGCCAAAGACACCATGTATTTACAAGCCTACAACGAACCTACCTGGGATTCAAATTATTGTGAACTATGGGGAATCGCTTGTGCTGATGAAGGTAATTCATCCCCCTGTCAATTGATTCAAGTAACAAATCTCAGCTTAACCTTAAGGGACAACTTTTGACAAGCAACATGTCTCTAAACCATAAAAGCATGATGCCCGTTTCGTTTCCATGCTCAAAATGGAAGGTACATAATCAATAAACTGTCAACATTATATTTATTTAGCAGAATTAACGCTCAGCTTTGGGTTTTGACATGCTGTTGGCAAGATGAAACTGTAACGATAGCAAACAAACATGAACGTAGAATAAGATGATCTGCCAGAAAATGTAGAATAAGATCAATGAAACGTCACATCTGAGATTGGAATTCTTCAGGTTAATAAACATAGAATGACTTCAGGAAAAATACCTGGCAATGTCGAGTGCATAGCGCAGAGCAGTTTGAGCGTCAAGACGAACTTTGTCAGCCAAAATATCATTCAAGTTTCCCTGACATGTAAACCAAGAAATGAGTCAGACTTTCCTACCTTCATCATCAACTGAATTGTGCATAGAAAAACGTCTTACACAGCAAAGACGATCAACCCTCACAGCAAAAGGTAGACCTAAAGGATATTTCAGTTGAGTGAAGGTCCAATATATTCAGTAAAAGTCTTAAGTTTCTCTTTTGAAGTTTTTGCATGTTCACTAAATAGACCAGATGACAGAATGACTGGCCAAAGACCAATTGCATTAATAGTACCGAATGCACTGTGGAGGGCGGAAGCTTATATTCATCAAATTTCATCCTTGTATTTCTACAAAATCAAGATCACTTCAAATATCCTACTCACTGAAAGCAAACCTTTAGTGAGTCAGAATAAACCAAAGAAAAAAAAAAGAACCATAGATTTGTAAATGTATTTGAAAACTTACTTTTGGCAAGTACTCCGTAATTAAAATCATCTCTTCGTCGTGCACACTTGATCCAAGGAACTGTAAAATATTTGGATGCCGAAGTTCCTTAAGCAGAGTGCCATCCTTGGCAGACAAAACCCTGGATCAAGTTCAACTTGGCATCATATCAGCACTTCAAATTTAAGGTGAATAACACACTAAGAGCTATTGATTCGAGTTCAGCAGAAGTAGGAAAGAGAGACAGCGTGGAAGAACAAACATTTTCACTGGATGAGATATATGTCCTTTTATTATCGTTTTCACTACCCATGTTCCTCGCCACTTGACCTTTTCAGATTCACCGAACAAACCCTGGAAAGCACCAATCCAAAACACCACTTCTTTCAGGAAACTAACTTTAATAGAAGACTAGCACAGCTTTGACAGGACCATAAACATCACTTGATGCCAGACATACTTTGACAGCACAACTAACTTTGAAGGAATAGTTGAGCAGGAAGAACATGTGAATTTTCTCTGAAGAAATTCAGAGGCAGAAAACAGTATGGGCAGTCAACGATTTTTGTTTCAAAGCTTGTAAAGAATAATATATAGCTTGGATTATTTTACATTCTTTCTGCATTACTATAAACTATTCTTACTTATTTTTAAGGCACAGTCTCTACTCAAGTCCACCTATTACAAATGATGTATAAGAGGTTGCATTGCACTACAGCTTAAAAATAAGTTAGCAGTAGTGATTGGGGTTTCAACTAAAATACAGTTGCTCTTTTTGTAACTGTCTAATTATCAGTACTTGGGCTGGGATAAGAACAGAATATTATCCACCAGGCATAAGATTACCAACTCTTAGGCAAAGACAAGCACTCAATAATACCCGATACAGAAGATCTATATGTAGTACTAAGTCAGTAAATAGATATTGGAATCAAGCCCATTTATCAGGTAATTCATTGCAAATTTGGAGCTCATACTCTTTACCTGTTCAATCATTGACGAATGCTGCAAATTCAGTTCAGACATGTCAATATTCACCTCATATGAATCTTCTTCACGGCGGATCGTCTGCATTATATGTTATAGAAATATTATCATTGTATATAATGCGAATCAATTATAGGACTCCAAAAAATACATAGTACGGCTGTTGATGTCCCCTGTGGTTGAAGTCAACTATTCCTAGCCTAAAAACAAATTTACGCTCAACTCTCTTAAGATTTAACTTGATGAAGAGATCGATAACTTTTTAATCTGGAAAGAGCATTACTAAAAACACTTAATGCAAACATGTAGCTGAATCGAAATTTATTTATCAAACCCTCACAAAAGACTAAAGCAAACTTATCATTATTACCATGGAATGGTCATTGGTCGAGTCCTTGCCTCCATTGACTTCCAGGATCCTGCATATATCTCGATGTCCATACAGTCTTGCATCTGTTAAAGGCTTGATAATCAAAAGTAAGAGAGGATTATGATCCTTCATCCTTCATAATGCCTCTCTCATAGCAAACAGAGGTAATCATCTTAAGAAGCATTGAGTAAGGCTGAAAATCAGAACATACGCCTTTCGTTTCTGCAATCAAAATACTTGGCATACATCTCTTGGCTATATAATCACTGCCCGCGCCAACGACAATACTACTCCACACACATAAATTTGCTCAAGTTCTTAGTCTAGTCTAATTTTCTGTCCTAGTTCGGTTAAAAAAACTGGGTTGTCTTCATATCCCTTCGAATGATACAAAGGAATAAAAGTAAACACACATAACTTGAAAGTCATATCTTATACTGTATCAAACTTACTGTCCTCTGCCACCTATCTTGAAGGTTAACTTGAGCGTTGTAGGCCAAAAGAAGCTCAACAATGGAGGCTTGGCCCTCGCTGGCAGCAAGATGAAGGGCAGTTCTTTTGTCATAATCTTGTACATTAGGAGATATACCATTTCTTAGCATCTGATTTAGTCCAACTCTATCCCCTCTGGACGCGAAACTCAAGAAGTTTCCTATTAATTGCATATCAAAAACATCTGTAGGATCTCCATGGTAGTTTGGATTCGACATTGGGATCAACAAATTTCAAGAATGTAGGAACCACTTGTTGCGTAATATCCAGTTGATCTCCAATTCAAGAATTGAAGTAACAGGAGATGACTTTATATCCACTTAGCAACTATCAAGTGACTTCTCAGTGGGAGAGTTGGCGGTTAATTCTAAGGAAAGGAGTTTAGGATTTAACGACGGTTACGCACCTAACAGGAAAATACGTTATACTTACATACTACTGTATAGATGTATTCATGAAATGTTCAACCTCCAGTATTGAACAAACGTCAAGATGGGGTTTTCTTTTATATTTCCTTTTTGACTTTTGGTTTGTCCGGGCCTTTAGTGCTAGCAATTGAGTTAATTAGCTTGCAAATGGGAAACAGGAAGAATAAACGAAAACAAGGAAATATCAAGTAGTACCTTTGCTTTAAAAGGAAAAAAGCAAAAAAAGGCTAGTTCCTTTTCTGTATGTCCCTGTATCAATTTGCGGTATTTTTATCAAGAATTGAAGTACATTTCTTCTCCGTGACTTTATCTGCGTAACGTATGGTGCTACTATTTTGATTTTTTTTTTGGGGTATTATGATGGGGCACCACAAACCCGACTGCAGCGTGTCGGGAGAAGGGCTAGTGCGGTTGGGATTTGGTACGATTCGCTTCGATTATTATACTTTTTATATTATTTGATGTACAATTACATTACATTTTATATTCAGGATAAATGTGATGTATATAAATAAAATATTTGATGAATATTCAATAAAACGTTATAATGTATTTGTACACCAAAAATTTCAACGTGTACAATGACTAAATGGAAACGCACGAAATATAATTGTACTGAATCCTTGTCCCAGCATGTACTAAATCGCGAAAAGGATAAATCTCGAGTCGATTAGACATATTAGTCGACAACCAAGTACAAGTTCGAACCATATTTTACAAGCACTTGAGACTTTGATGGTACAGGTTAACCAGGTCTCTGCCAAACATTTGCCCCGGAAGAGAGAGACGTTAAATTAAGCGGTGACCCCTTCAATCTAGATGATTACCTGCGGGATGCTAAGTTTTTATATATTGTTTTGCAAATATTTTGTCAAGGAGATGTCACTAACTATATGGATACTTGTAATAAATAACTAATGATACCCATGCAAAAATCTTTATTGGTAGCAAACAAATTTCCTTAGGTTGACATATCATGGCTTTGCAACGTTGGATCCTTCAATCAGCATGTGTTCTTCTTTTTAATATCCATTTCCTAATTAGAGGGCATCATTTTTATATCATGGCCAAGATTCATACCAACAGATGACATCAGTCCATCGTATTGTAATGCAAATTAGTAATCAAAAGAACCCGTGCTTGATTGCCTCATGATTTGCTCATAAAGCAATTGACATTTTTCACTCATTAAACAGCCACCATCAGGCTTCAGGCTGAACAGGAGCACAGACATGGCTCAAGAGAATTTAGGCATCTGTAGATACCCCATGGAAGGCGGTGATGGCCCATACAGCTACACTCAAAATTCCGAGTACCAGGTAGTAATCTATTATGTCTCAAATTTACGTTCTTCTTTTTGGATTAAGAAAAGGGAGGAACGTAATATCTAATTTTAAAGTGATGCAGAAACAATCTGTGGATTCAGCTAAGCAACTGACCAATGAACTGATTGATCAGCTTCTTGATGTTGGAAACCATCCATACTCTTTCAGTAACTCATATCGAGTTGCAGATTTTGGATGTTCAGTCGGTCCTAACACGTTCTGTGCAGTGCATAACATCATTGAAGCTGTTGAAAACAAATACAAATCCCAAAAGATGGAATCACGCATGCCAGAATTCCATGTCTTCTTTAACGATCACGTTGGCAATGATTTTAACACACTCTTCAGAAACATTCCTGCTACTGGACGCTACCTTGCAGCAGGTGTTCCGGGTTCTTTTCACGGGCGCCTACTTCCTAGTTCTACGCTACATTTTGCACACTGCTCCACCGCGCTTCACTGGATCTCTAAGATCCCAAAAGAAGTGACGGATAAGAACTCCCCCGCATGGAACAAGGGCAGAATCCATTATGCCGGAGCTGCTAAAGAAGTTAAAGATGCATATTCAACTCAGTTTGCAAAAGATTTTGATTCTTTCCTGAGCGCGAGAGCACAGGAGCTCGTTCCAGGAGGATTGATGGTGCTTGTATCACTTGGATTCCCGGATGGAGTCCAGGTATGCGAGTCCAGTATGGGAGAAAATTTTAACATTCTCGGGTCCTGTTTCCTGGACATTGCCAAAACGGTGAGGAATTGGTCCCGCTAAATCAAATTTCACCCAATCAACTCTCCATCTTTCAATTCTTACTTATTTGAAAGTTGAAACCCATCATTTACTTGCAGGGAATCATCACTCAAGAGATGGTGGATTCATTTAACTTGCCGTTTTATTATCCATCGCCATCGGAACTGAAGTCACTGATTGAGGTAAACGGATTGTTTGAGATTAAGAAAATAGAGAAGTTGGTCTCCCCAACAAGACAAGTAAAGCCGGACGACCTTGCTGTCTGCGTCCTTCACCTTAGAGCTATCCTAGGGGAACTCATCAAGGAACATTTTGGTGAAGGGATAACGGACATCTTGTTCAAACGTCACACGAACAAGTATGTCGAGAGTCCTGTTGTGTCTGATGGGAGGTATTTTAAAGAGACTAGCTATTTTGTCTTTCTCAAGCGGAAAATGAATTGTGCATCCTAGTTCTTCAGAAGAAATTCCATACCATTGCACAAAGATGGTTCTTGTGTAAATGCTATGGAAGCAATTTTACTAATCCCTGGTTGTATGAAGTCATCCTATATTCCAATAAAATTAGCTCGGTTATCCGTGAAAGATTTTATTGAAGCGGTAAAATTTAACCGTGAAAAATTTATCGAAGTGCAATGTAGCTGGCAGGAGATACCCTCGTAGGCCAAGATGGTGCCGAAGGCTTGATTCTGTGTATGGTACTTGACAAGCAGAGTTGATAAATAAGATGTACGCAAGCAGGTGAGCATGAAGCAAAAGTTAGAGGAAACACTAATATCTTATGAAATCGATATCCACAGTTTCAGCCTCGTGTCTGAATTTTCTTACCGGTGCCTAAGCTCCAATTTGTCAGCTTAAAATCCTGAGAAAATTAAACTACCAGCACCCCCGGCATACACACATCAAAGAAGCAGAAACAAACTAACAAAGAGTATGATCCACCGTTTGTAGGTAGCCCAACTTCATTCCATTCATCTAAGATTAGCAGTGTGATGAGGTAAGAAGCATTAGATGAAACAAAATCTCCTAGTACTTCTAATTGCTATTTTATAGTATCATTTGAAAGTAAATTCTAAAAGGAAAAGGATCGGTAAAGCTCAAGGAGACTCCTTTGCAATCTTCTCCGCCTTGGCAAGAACTTCATCAATCCCACCAACCATGTAAAAAGACTGTTCAGGAAGGTCGTCATATTTCCCATCCAAAACACCCTGAAGATTAAGAATTCAGTCAGAAAGAAAAAAGAAAATTTAAGAGACGAGTAGAAACTTTATATGCTGAAGTACCACGGAAGTATCCAAAATAGTAGAATTCTCAATGAACTAATTTGACACAAGCAACAATATAGACTTCTTTCTCACTCAAGTGAGGCTGTCAAACCTAGCAAGCAGATCAAATTTACCTGAAAACTATTGATACTCTCTTTCAACTCCACATACTTTCCAGGTGCACCAGTAAAAACCTCGGCCACATGGAAAGGCTGGCTCAGAAAGCGTTGAACTTTTCGTGCGCGAGCCACAGTAAGTTTATCCTCTTCACTAAGCTCATCCATTCCCAGAATAGCAATTATGTCCTGCAGATTCTTGTAATTCTGGAGAACCTGCTGCACGCCACGAGCTGTATTATAATGTTCATCACCTAAAATGTGAGGAGATAGCATGCGAGAAGTAGAGTCTAGAGGATCCACAGCTGGATAGATGCCAAGCTCTGAAATCTGCAGTCAGGAACAATGGCAAGGTCAATAGATGGACCTGGTATAACATTTGTCACCTGGATAGATGGGTTCAGTCTGGAAACACCTGTCGAGACAACACAGTTGTGGCATCTAGGTGGGCAAAGGTGGTAGCAGGGGCTGGATCCGTCAAGTCATCAGCAGGCACATATATGGCCTGAACAGATGTGATTGATCCCTTCTTGGTGGTTGTAATACGTTCTTGGAGTGCTCCCAGGTCTGTTGCCAGAGTTGGCTGATAACCCACAGCAGAGGGGATACGACCCAGCAGAGCAGATACCTCAGAATTAGCCTGGAAGCGACCAGGAAAAACACAAATGATAACCTTGTAAGCAATATGGGAAATGAACAAAAACATAGAAGATGAAGAAGTGGATACCTGTGTGAACCGGAATATGTTATCAATGAACAAAAGCACATCTTGCCCTTCAGCATCTCGGAAGTGTTCAGCCACTGTCAATCCAGTAAGCCCAACACGAGCACGTGCACCAGGAGGTTCATTCATTTGACCATACACGAGAGCACACTTGCTTTCACTCTAAAATCCATGTAGGTTTTCAAAATGAGGCTAACAGTTCAAACTATGTATTAACCACAAACGAATAGATTCATTTCAATTGGGAAATGCAATGATTATAAACCTGCTTGTCCCCTAGCTTAATAACACCACTCTCAATCATTTCTCTGTACAAATCATTGCCCTCTCGAGTACGCTCACCAACGCCAGCAAAAACAGAGAAACCACCTAATTAACAACACATGCATCACAAAGAAATTAACCACAACAGTCAGTGTCACCCATGATAGTATGACATGGAAAAGACAAGAAAGAGTAGTTTTAAAAATAAATTCAAACCGTGAGCCTTGGCAACATTGTTGATCAGTTCCATGATCAGCACTGTTTTTCCAACACCAGCACCACCAAAAAGTCCAATCTTTCCACCTCTTTGATAAGGAGCAAGTAGGTCCACAACCTGTATTAGGGAATTGGAATAGAAAATTATCTCCAAAGGGGAGCAAGCAGCTACAGATATTAAGAGAGTAAGTAAACAGCTTTTCATGAAACCTTGGCAATTCAGAAAAAAAAAAAAAAAGCATCTGAAAAGTAACAAGTAATACAGACTTTCTCTCTGGCTTCTATGTATAGAAAATTAACATGAAGATCAATATCATTTAAAAAAAAAAAAAGACGCATCAATTAAGATTGCAATTATCACCTTGATTCCAGTGACAAGGATCTGCTGTTCGGTTGCTTGTTCGACAAAGGTTGGAGCTTCTCTATGGATTGGGAGAAAGTGATCGGTTTCTTTTCATGTAAATCGATTTATTGAATACAAAAAGACAGCGGAAAAAGGAAATCCACAAGTTAGAAATGCAATGGCAGACACGAAATTGAAGGAAACATATCCTAATATAGAAGTAACATTAATTAATGCATGGAACATTACTTATATCACCCCTGTCGTCAATAGGCTCCCCAATGACATTCACAATACGGCCAAGAGTAGCCCTGCCCACAGGAACCTGCCATAACGGGCCAAAGAATGGAAGCACGAATGGTGAGCATTTTCCTTGCAAATAAGCATCCGTGAACACAACGAGCAGCAAGAAGTAGGACCGAAACTCGAAGTTACAGATTACATAATCATGAAACAATTACTTATTTGAGTACGAGGGACAAAACGGTTTAAGAAAAAAAGAAAACAGAGAGATAGAGAGAGAAATTACAGTGATAGGAGAGCCAGTATTAAGGACGCTTTGGCCACGAACAAGCCCTTCCGTTCCATCCATTGCAATCGTCCGTACAGTGTTCTCTCCCAAATGCTGCGCCACCTCCAGTACCAATCTCATCGAGTGGTCCTTCACCTCCAACGCCGTCATTATCGGCGGCAACCCATCTTCGAACCGAACATCCACCACAGCCCCGATGACCTGGCAAACCTGACCAACTGCTCCGGCGCCGGTGAAATTTTCCGTGATCTTCCCTACTCCCTTTCCAGGCGGCTGAGTCGAGGCTTTCGTTGCGGCTGCTGAGGAGGCGGCATAGTTGGCCACACGGTGGAGAATGTGACCAGCTGGTGGAGGATTGTAGAGTTTGGGCTGCAGAGAATAAGAATGACGTGTCGGAAGGCGGATGAGGGAGGACAGAATTTTCCGTATAGCCATGGCTAAGAACTGAGACTGAAGCGTGTGTTATTGGTGCGTGTTTATGGTGTTAATGGAGTAAAAGACGACGATGATGAGGGTTTCTTCACATTTTGAGTAGAAATTGGAAGATGAGAGAGTGAGCTGTGACTGAAGTATACGAGGCAGTACATGGTGTTTCTGTGGAATTCTCAGATGGATCCGGTCCACCACGGACCAAAACCTTAGGAAGCTTGAGTGGTTCTGCTACGTGACTTTTTACTTTTTAGATGGGTTCAGTTGTTCAAAACTGCAGCTCACGGTGGACGAGCTACACGGAAGTGTTTTGGGCGCGATTTGGTGGGGACACGTTGCATGGTACGACGACATCTGCGGTGGACGGATTCAATGCGTATTTTGAGTGCCACGTGTACCATGGCTGCTGCAACTGAAAATAGCTGCACAAAACGGCGACGTAGCCACCAATAGGCCTGGTAACCAACTACTAGTAAGTACTTGGACACCACATATCCTGTGGACTGCGAGGTCAATGGTCCAGACCTTCCTTCCCATGGTTACTAATGTGGCTTCTTTTAAATTATATAGTACATTCGTATAATTCGATTGTGATTCAATTTTCATTGATTCTCTTGATTCAATTGGATCACCTCCTTAAAAAATAGATTAGAGTAAGAATAAGAATAAATTGTGACAATTGACAAAAAAAAAGTTATAATATATGAATTCATTACACCTACAATTCCATTTAAAAGTATCATATTTTCCGTATTTAAGAAGGATAAAATCTAATACGTGTGAGTCCACGACCCTAATGATTCTATAATCAATAGGTTACACCTACAATCCCATTAAAAAGTATTGTACTTTTCATATTTGAATAGAATAAAATCTAATACGTGTGAGTACACAATCCTAATGATTCTACAATCGATAGGTTATATTCATTAACTAGTTGTTGTTAGATCTGGATTGGATCAATAGATCATATTGGTCGATCATGAACCAGCATTTTTTTTGGAGTTGGTTAGTAATATGAAATAGTTTTGATAAAAAAAACAGTCAAAATCATAAAAAATCGACCAAATCAGTGACTTGGTTCGGCTACTTGATTCAATTCTCACAATTTTCCTTCTTGTTTTTTCGAACATACTTAAGTTGTAAAACTTTCATTTATTAATAGGAATAAAAAAAATGCCTCCCACTTAATATAAACACTAAAAATCACTCATACGCCTAAACAATCTCCAAACCACAGAGTTTTCATCCATATTATCTTATCAGTTTATAATTAGTGATTCCAACTTGCATTAAAAAGCAATTTTCTCAATAAAAAGATCTCAAATTGGGTATGATTTATTTTAATTTAGTTATTCAAGTACTTTTGAAAAATGAACATATTTAAGATATGAATTCACATTTTTATATATAATTTTTAGATGTATATTTAATTGTAGGCAAATATTTTTGGAATATTTTGTATAATTGATTGAAATATAACCAAAAATATAATTTTAATATTTTAAAAATTTATAAAAATATAAAATAATTATAACATCATATAATGTGAGCGAATTAAAAAAAGGGTTCGATCGGTGACCCTGAATAGGGCTGCTATCCAATCCGAATTTAACAACATTGCCAAAAACAGGTCCGGCACCCAAACCTTTTGGCGCCAGTCCAACCGGCTCGCTGTCGCGCGTTATAAACTACTTCACAACTGCATCAGTCCCCGATAATTTCCCTCCTGGAAACCACCGTCCGCTTATGACCACCGACAAACCGCCATGTCTTCAACTGTGCTCGAAAGCCAATCCCTAACCCTCGACTCCACCACTCTCTACCTGGGCGCTCACACCACTGTCTCCTCTCAACCGCCGCCCATTTCCCACCCCCTCCCCCCGCTTCCTTCCTCACTTCCCCAACCCAAACTCATTCCTAAAACCCGCTTTATCATCGACGGTTTCAAACACGCCGGTGACTTCTCCGTCTCTTACTTCCTTTCTCACTTCCACTCTGATCACTACACCGGGCTCAACCCCTTTTGGTCGAAAGGCGTCATTTATTGCTCCTCCGTCACTGCCCGCCTTCTTATTGAAGTCCTCAAAGTCCCCTCGGCCTTCGTTGTTGCATTGCCCCTCTCCGAACGGTTTCTGATAGACGGATGTGGGGTTGTCCTCGTTGACGCCAACCATTGTCCGGGGGCAGTTCAGTTTTTGTTTAAGGTTCCGGTTAATGGAGGTAAATTCGAGAAATATGTTCATACCGGTGATTTTCGCTATTCTGATTCCATGAAATTGGTACCGTTGCTAAGTGAATTCATTGGTTCTGATGCTGTGTTTTTGGATACTACCTACTGTAACCCGAAATATGTCTTTCCGGGACAGCAGGAGTCAATTGAATACATTGTTGGGGTTATAGAGAGAGTTGGAGCTGAAAATGAGGGTAAGTTGAAGAATGTTTTGTTTCTTGTTGCTACTTATGTTATTGGGAAAGAGAAGATTTTGCTGGAAATTTCACAGAGGTGTAAGATGAAGATTCATGTCAACGCCAGGAAAATGGCTGTTTTGAGTGTTCTGGGGTTGGGGGAGTGTGGAGTGTTTACTGAGGATGAGACGGAGAGTAATGTTCATGTTGTTGGTTGGAATGTGTTGGGCGAGACTTGGCCGTATTTTCGACCTAATTTTGTTAGCATGAAGGAAATTATGAAGGACAGAGGGTATTCTAAGGTTGTGGGATTTGTTCCGACAGGATGGACTTATGAAGTGAAGAAGAATAAGTTTGCGGTGAGGACAAAGGATTCATTTGAAATACACCTTGTGCCTTATAGTGAGCATTCAAATTATGATGAACTTAGGGAGTACATAAAGTTTTTGAAACCTAAACGTGTTATACCTACAGTGGGCATTGATGTGGAGAAACTTGATGGTAAACATGCAAATGCACTTCGAAAACATTTTGTGGGTTTGGTTGATGAGATGGCTGCTAAGGAAGAATTCTTGATGGGTTTCCATGAAAAGGCCAAGGAAGGGGTTGGGAAGGATGACAATGCTGGTTCTTCAGCGCCAACTGTTTTGTTAAAGCGGGGGAGTGAGGATATGTTGTCTGTAATTGAATGCAGCAAAAATATTGAGAACGATGATGTTTTAAACTCTTCACTTTCTAAGGAGGGAAGTGCTTCACATGATATTGAGATTGTAAATCAAGAGGACATAGAGGAATCTATACAAGAATTTTGTGACTGTTTACCCAGCTGGGTCACTCGAAGTCAGATGTTGGATTTACTCAACAGCTCAGGAAGAAATGTAGTTGAAGCGGTTTCCCAGTTTTATGAACATGAAACTGAGTTTTATGAGCAAGTTGCTTCAAACATATCCTCTGCATGTAAATCTCCCTCAAACTCAGAATTACTAGAGTGCAAATTGCCAGCTAAGTCAACAGAAGGTTTATTTGCATCGTCTGCTAAACTAAGTGGAGTTGAATCTGGATTGCCTTATAAATGCTGTCCTGATAATATGCTTTCTAAAACTCAGGATATATCCTTTAGAGAAAGGCTTAAGCTACCAAGAACTATTAACCCAAGTAAGAGTGGAAGTTCTCCAGGGAAGAGGAAGAGAACTCCTGAAAATAAAACAAGCAAAAAAGCTAAAAGGAAAACAATTCCGGAGTCAAATGTGCCAAAACAGTATACTATAACAAAGTTTTTCCAAAAATTAGTCCCTTCTGTTTCTCAAGCTGAAGACATTGTAGCTGCATCTGGGCATTCTCATGATGATGATGCTGTGATGTTAAATCACTGTACTGAGAGATACAAAGTCGAGGTGGATCAGTTTATTCAGATTGTGAATGGCGACAACGCATTAAGAAGGCATGCTGCTGAGATCTTGGAGAAGACAAAAGGAGATGTTAATGTGGCACTAGATATCTATTTTAACAATTCTGGCGGTAGTATCATGGAGAAAAAAGTCAGCCTGTCAGAGAGAATTAATGAGTTCCAGACTCAACCGTCAAAAGGGAATAGCTCTTCTGACCAATGTGCTCAGACGTTAGAGGGATTGACATGTGAGACTGTCACATCTTTAACTGTACAACCAACAGATAATGTAGCTGTGAATTACGTATCATTACTGCCTGAAAAATATTCTCCTACTGAGCATGGTTGGTTTCTAGTTATTGTCTTAATTCTCTATCCTTATGCAGAGAGTTATTTATGTAAGAGAGTTATTATATGTAATGTGTGTATCATTGACTTTATCCAGCTTGCTGGAAAAAGGGGGAGCCTGCCCCATACCTACATCTTGCACGATGTTTTAATCTGCTTGAGGAAGAAAGGGGTAAAATAAAAGCTACATCGATGCTTTGCAATATGTTTAGGAGGTTTGTTTTCTGGAAAAATATACGTCCTTTTTTTTTGCTATCTTTTCAGAATCTATAACCTCCACAATCGGTCAACATTAGCCTTTTTTGTGGCACATGGAAAGTTATTGTGTCATCATTTAATCACTTTACTGCTCAATATGCAGCTTGCTGACCTTGTCTCCAGAAGATGTGTTACCTTCTGTGTACTTGTGTACCAACAAGATTGCTCCTGACCATGAGAACATGGTTAGTGTGTTTTACTGTTGTTGTTGCTTCCAGCATTGTTGTGCTGTTGCCTGCTCCATATGTCTCCCTCGTAAAGTTTTCTCCTCTCTTGGCATATTTCCATTCCCTTGGTCAACATCCTCATGTTATTGGCTTTATATGCATGAATCCACACCGTTTATTTCCTCATAGTACTTGATTTTGATTTGGTTTTCCTTTATGTTCTTTCTCAGCGTGCTTTGTTCTATTTTCCAAGTTCTTAACAGAAAGAAAGAGCTTTCTTCCTAATTGTCGTTTTCACACTTAAAGGTTGTCTGCTTTGAATTATTTTTAGCCCTTCCTTTTGTTGACCCTTGAGAGTCAGAAGCCTTAAATATACCGCTGTTTTAGATTTTGAAGTTGATATCGATCACATGTTTGAGTTCCATGGATCATTTCTATGTTAATATTTTGGATCATTTTATTCACCTTAAGTGGTAATAGTAAGTGTATCTCAGTAACTTATTGTTAATCAATTTATTCCTTTATTTATTGACTGGAAGGCATTGGGCGATTGTGTGCACAGGAACTTAATATTGGTGGTAGCATTGTTGTAGCAGCATTGGAAGATGCTTGTGGGACAAACAAATCTAGAGTGCGTGACTTGTATAACAGCCTAGGTGATCTTGGTATGAAAATTACTTTTGTTTATTGTTTGCTTAATGGCTATATGCTACTCTTTACAAGGTTGGATCATGATTGTGTTTAAAAATTCATGTTAAACTGGTGCATACTTAATTAGGTGATGTTGCTCAGCTTTGTCGAACAACACAACCACTACTTGCTCCTCATGCTGGGCTTACTGTTCGAGGTGTCTATTCTGTTCTTCGAAAGATAAGGTACAATATGCATAATTTCACAGTCATCAAATCATATTTTCACTATATCACTTTCAACAAGTGAAATTAGTGCTCGAGTAGTGTTATTCTGGTTTCCCCTTTTCTCCATACTTGATCATGAGCTACCCTGTATTCAGTGGTGGAGCCAGTGGGTGACAGTTGGTTTGCTGGAAATTATATATGTATTGGTTAGTTATCTTCAATTTGACAGGGCATTCTAATTATGCTAAGGTCGTGGTAGAAATTTTCATTTTCTCATTGGTGTGTGGCAGATGTTATAAGATTACGCCTGTTGTTAAAACATTCTTCAAAATGGAAACATGTCAATTATTTTTCCATGACGGATTTCTAGCAAGATTAATTTCTTTTCTGTATACACCTTAAAAAGCAGATTGTGTTTTTTTTTCTTTTTTGTATCTTCGGATGTATCTTATTGTTTAAATATTTTTTTTTCTTTCTTTTTTAAAGATTATGATAGTCCAGTATGGATTCTGCCATTTTTTCATGTACAATTCATCAGTTTACAAACAGGTAGTGGAAGCACAGCTCGGAAGAAAAACCTTATAGTGAATCTTATGCGTTCATGTAGAGAAATGGAGATGAAGTTTCTTGTCAGGACCTTGGTATGGCATGCTTTATCTGAAATTTCTTCTTATACTGTTAAGTCACAATCTTTTAGCACAGTTGGTTGATCTTGAAAGATTAATCTTTTGAGTTCTAGTTGATTCTGCATTGAGCTATAACTGGTGTTAATAGTTTGTTTGATTTTCTTGATGTGAAAAGAATCAAGATGTAGAAAATTTAATGCGTTACCTTTTTGTTGATGTTTATTAGTTAACTTGGAATCTAATGTGTTGGCCGTGAGACATTAAAAGTATTTTGCTTTTGTGTCATGGATGTTCCAGCACCCTAGTCATCTTTTCTTTTTCCTTTTTTTTTTTCTTTTTTTCATTTTTTCCAGTTATAAAGTGTGAGTTAGCCTCTTAAGGGTGAGGACAATTATGGTAATATACATGATAAACCAAGAAGTTTTTAAAGATAATGAAGGATAAGTGAGAAATGATGCTACTTTATCTTTTATCAGTATCCACTACATGGGTATGCTATCTAGGAATAGCTAGCCAAATATGAGGATGAGTAGGGTGGTGATGTATGAGTCAGAGTTGGTCTCTTGAAGAGATCCTGTTTATGTGAATGATTATATTGTATTTTCACACTCATAGTTTTCCATATGCATTGAAAAAGCAGATCATATGATCTGCACTACAAAATATCATACAGAATGATCTACATGAGATGATGTGTGGTTAATTTTCTGCTGATCATGCATATAGTACGGTGGTGGTCTTTTGATCTTTATTCTATATGTAGGTTAGAAATTTGCGTATTGGAGCGATGATGAGAACTGTTTTGCCTGCATTAGCACAAGCTATTGTAATAACCTCCAGTGAAGGACCTGTTGAAAATTTGAAGGATCATCTTCAGGTGTGTTCCCTTCTTTGGGGTCAGAAATCATGAGATTTTACTTCTCAAAAGAAATGTTGTCGACGTGGCTTTTACTTGCTGGGGAAAAACAACTACTAGTTTCCACCATGTTCTGGTTGAACAATGTTTGTATTTAGATGTGATTCCTATTACACTACCTTTTGTCCAATGTACCATTTAATAACTTTTTCCTTCTGATTATTGCATTAAATTTCTTTTTCTTTCTTGTTCTTAGTGCCTTTCTTCAGCTGTCGTTGACGCTTATAACATACTTCCTCATTTGGTAAGCATTTCATTCTATGTACTAGTGCATGGCATATGCATTTTAAAGGTGTTGATTGCATTTAGCTTTTAATATTGAAATTTTTATGTGTGAATGATATTGTATTATCATAATGCACCATGTTATCCTTCTGTAATTTGTTTGGTTTTGACAATGCTGTCAATGAAGATAAAAGCTTCTTTTATTGTTTAATGTGTATTAATATCTATGAGTTGTCTGATTATTCTTCTGAATCAAAATATTAGCTATAGCATCTTCAAACCATTAATGCCCTGAATGCTTTGATTTGCTGTTGATTAGGATTTACTAATACCCAAATTAATGGAGAAAGGAGTTCAATTTTCTTCAATGGCTTTATCAATGGTTCCTGGCATACCCATCAAGCCAATGCTTGCAAAGTATGTTTGCCACCTACTTCTGCTGCTTTTATACTTCCTCCTTTTGTCTTATTTAATTGATGCTATCTCTCTTTGTATTAATTATTCTTATTCTTGTAGGATTACTAATGGATCCCCTCAGGTTCTGAAGCTCTTTCAAAACAAAGCCTTTACGTGTGAATATAAGTAAGTTCTCCACAAATTTGCTATTGCTTTTTCTTTTGTATTGCCGATCTTTCTGTTTTTGACAATTCTTGCACGCTTGGTTTCTACACAGCATGAATTTCTTGAATGCTTAGTAGGAGACAGTTTGATGGTACACCTTAGTGGCTCTAGCAATCTCATTTTATACATTCCGTTCTGGAAGTCTAGCTATTTTATGGGTGAGTAGTAAAAATGCTAGAACTTTTTTTCAACTGAGATCCTTTCTTCACGTAATGGGTTCGCACTCATTTGTGTTTTTGTCAAATTATGTATATGTATATAATGTTTCGGATGGGGTTCTGCCATTTATGCATGTGCCCAAATACTTCAAAGTTCCTTGGCACTTCAGTTAGTGGATTGAAGTTATTTTTTTCACTTAATTTAAGGTGAGATAACTCTAATATTTGGCGCTTGTGTGGTTGGCTTGGTGAAGGTTATATCCATCGTGGAAGATTTCTAATTTTTTTGGAGGTGCCCTATGTTTATAAACTGATGTAGATTTATGTTCTTGAGACAAGCCTCAAATTTTTGCGCTATGAGAAGTTTATATCAAGTATTTCAATGGTTTTACTTCATGGATGTAATGGCCTGTGATCCAATTGTTTAGGTTGATTTATCTGGTTTCTGGATCCTGATATGCTTCCCCCAATTTAATGCCCTTCATTGAAGTCAGAATCTTTTACATGTTGGATTAGTTGAATATTTTTGCTGAACGAGAAAAAATCCATTGCATGACTTTGCATCATTCTTGTCTAAAAGATTTGGACTTCATACTGGGATGCTTTTCAAACTGAATATGTTTGCCTTCTCTTCCTTTGATTGGGTTGGGTTCAGAGGTATCTTATTTCTCAAATATTATTTATCACTGTTAAGATTGGCTTTCACATCCAAGGAAGCATACCAGTCTGATCACATTGAAGTGTTTGGTGCACTTTTTTATGAATTCGGATCTGAACTGCATATTACTCCATGCTTTGTTGGTCTGATAATTAAGAGGGGAAAAGGATGCCACAGGTCCTTGAATTTAGAATCTATAAGGCCGTTATGTTACAACATTTGCTTGATATTTAAATCCAATTTCTGATCCATCCATGTATTTGCTCCAAAAGATGTATGGTTTTCAAGGCGCACAATCTTGTTTTTCTCCTATAGGATGTGGAATTTGTTTGCAATCTTCTGTTTGAATTTCGTATGTTATTGTGAGAAAGAGCAAATCACAAGTAACTTATGTAGATTAAAAAATCAAAAAAAGAACTTTATTTACAATGTCCTTTCTTAATTGAAAAGTCTGTCCAGACTTTTCTGAGCAGCATATATTTTCATTTTTCAGATATGATGGCCAGCGAGCCCAAATTCACAGATTAGATAATGGATCTGTTCATGTATTCTCACGGAGTGGGGATGAAACAACAACAAAATTCCCTGATTTATTAGATATAATTGGGGAAGCATGTGGCTCTGCTTCAATAACTTTCATAGTGGATGCAGAGGTATATTGCTTCTCTGATGAAATATACTAGACTTGTTGGCTTTGAAATTCATGCTGATTATTTTTGTGCATGGTTTGAAATGATTATTACCGTCTTCGATCATGGTCGTCTGTTTGTTTATTTGTGTTTGGCCTTGCATGTCCAGGTAGTTGCAATTGATAGGAAGAAAAATATGAAGCTTATGTCATTCCAAGAATTATCTTCTCGGGAAAGAGGAAGTAAAGATTCCATGGTTTCTGTAGGAAAAATAAAGGTAGCATGTTATGTTCTTTTACATATTGGGAACCTCTACTTTTCTTAAAAATTTTGTAGAGTTTTGTGTTATTGGGAGTGCCAATTGGGTATAAATTTGCATTTGGATTACTGTTACTTGCCATATGGTTCTGCTGTTCTTGTTGACATCATTGATACGCACTGGGACGAAAGTAGTAAACTTAATTCTTTCATTGTATTCTCTCCTAAACCTAGATAACTTAAGATTTTTGTTTTGCATTACATGGTTACCTATTGAAGGAGGTCGAAGCTGAAAATGATTACACAAAATTATGGAAATTTCCCTCTAAGAACATTTGGCATTTATTTTGTCTTCTAATGGTCACGGCTATTTTTTTTCCTAATGTCATAACTGTTCAATGATTATCTGGGAATCAGAAAGGAAGAAACAAGATGAATCTAAGAGAAGTTTGGTCATTATCCAAAAGCCATGTTTGTTTTTCTCCAGTAGGTTTGTCTATTGGAATCCAGAACCAGGTTGTGGCATGAAGAGAGTTTTATGGATATTTTAACCTAAATAGTGGTCAAATTGTTTCTGCAAGCAGTTAGCCGAGCAGTATTTTGTCTTCTCTTATTTAGGTACTAGGCATTTACAAAAGCCATTTTAAGAAAGATAAAAGCATGAATGCTCCTTGCATTTTGATGATGAATTGTTCAAATTCTTGAAGAAGCCAATCATGATCATTTTGCATTAATTGAAGGTCAGGAGTTTCCGGAGAAAGAATGAATGTGCATTAATGTGAGCTATCTAAATCAATCGAGCAGTCAGTTTTTTCACCTTTGAATAAAGAAAGTAGAAATTGAAAAGCAAAATGAAACATGTGTAAGAAGCTTTTAAAAAGGCGAGGTTTTGAGAAGGAAGAAGTTAAAATCAGCTGAACTAAAGCATCTGAAAACAGGCCTATCAAGTGCTTCATTATCTACGGGTTTTCATTCATTTCTTTTACCTCCTTATTACTTAGTAGTATTACAAGCTTCTGACATTTTGTTATATATGCAGGTTGATATTTGTGTTTTCATCTTTGATATTATGTTCGCGAATGGGAAGCAGTAATGATCTTGTACCTTTCTACAAACATTTATGGTTTAAATCATGTTTTACTGTCATGTATGATATTCAATATCAAGCTATGGTTATACTTTATAGCAGTCTACAGGGGATTTGAGAAAGGTTCTGAACTCTTATGTCGCCATCAATCTGTTTGGTCTCATTTTCATCTAAACTAAATGATTAATCTTGCCTGCGACTAGTTTGATTTATATAGTTTTATGTCTCTCACTGATCTTGATTCACATTTTCTCCAGGTTGTTGAGCCTTCCCCTTTGCCAAAGACGGATGCGTATGCACTTTCTCCATCTTTGCAGAGTAGATTTTTCTATCTTACCTGGGGGTGACTTTTAATTGCATAGATCTTATTTTAAGCTCATTTTAAACTTGCTTCTGAATTACAGATTTGAAGGACTTGTTTGGTCACTTAAGTGGTAATAGTAAGTGTATCTCGGTAACTTATTGGTAATCAATTTATTCCTTTATTTATTGACTGGAAGGCATTGGGCGATTGTGTGCACAGGAACTTAATATTGGTGGTAGCATTGTTGTAGCAGCATTGGAAGATGCTTGTGGGACAAACAAATCTAGAGTGCGTGACTTGTATAACAGCCTAGGTGATCTTGGTATGAAAAATTACTTTTGTTTATTGTTTGCTTAATGGCTATATGCTACTCTTTACAAGGTTGGATCATGATTGTGTTTAAAAATTCATGTTAAACTGGTGCATACTTAATTAGGTGATGTTGCTCAGCTTTGTCGAACAACACAACCACTACTTGCTCCTCATGCTGGGCTTACTGTTCGAGGTGTCTATTCTGTTCTTCGAAAGATAAGGTACAATATGCATAATTTCACAGTCAGCAAATCATATTTTCACTATATCACTTTCAACAAGTGAATATTAGTGGTCGAGTAGTGTTATTCTGGTTTCCCCTTTTCTCCATACTTGATCATGAGCTACCCTGTATTCAGTGGTGGAGCCAGTGGGTGACAGTTGGTTTGCTGGAAATTATATATGTATTGGTTAGTTATCTTCAATTTGACAGGGCATTCTAATTATGCTAAGGTCGTGGTAGAAATTTTCATTTTCTCATTGGTGTGTGGCAGATGTTATAAGATTACGCCTGTTGTTAAAACATTCTTCAAAATGGAAACATGTCAATTATTTTTCCATGACGGATTTCTAGCAAGATTAATTTCTTTTCTGTATACACCTTAAAAAGCAGATTGTGTTTTTTTTTCTTTTTTGTATCTTCGGATGTATCTTATTGTTTAAATATTTTTTTTTCTTTCTTTTTTAAAGATTATGATAGTCCAGTATGGATTCTGCCATTTTTTCATGTACAATTCATCAGTTTACAAACAGGTAGTGGAAGCACAGCTCGGAAGAAAAACCTTATAGTGAATCTTATGCGTTCATGTAGAGAAATGGAGATGAAGTTTCTTGTCAGGACCTTGGTATGGCATGCTTTATCTGAAATTTCTTCTTATACTGTTAAGTCACAATCTTTTAGCACAGTTGGTTGATCTTGAAAGATTAATCTTTTGAGTTCTAGTTGATTCTGCATTGAGCTATAACTGGTGTTAATAGTTTGTTTGATTTTCTTGATGTGAAAAGAATCAAGATGTAGAAAATTTAATGCGTTACCTTTTTGTTGATGTTTATTAGTTAACTTGGAATCTAATGTGTTGGCCGTGAGACATTAAAAGTATTTTGCTTTTGTGTCATGGATGTTCCAGCACCCTAGTCATCTTTTCTTTTTCCTTTTTTTTTTTCTTTTTTTCATTTTTTCCAGTTATAAAGTGTGAGTTAGCCTCTTAAGGGTGAGGACAATTATGGTAATATACATGATAAACCAAGAAGTTTTTAAAGATAATGAAGGATAAGTGAGAAATGATGCTACTTTATCTTTTATCAGTATCCACTACATGGGTATGCTATCTAGGAATAGCTAGCCAAATATGAGGATGAGTAGGGTGGTGATGTATGAGTCAGAGTTGGTCTCTTGAAGAGATCCTGTTTATGTGAATGATTATATTGTATTTTCACACTCATAGTTTTCCATATGCATTGAAAAAGCAGATCATATGATCTGCACTACAAAATATCATACAGAATGATCTACATGAGATGATGTGTGGTTAATTTTCTGCTGATCATGCATATAGTACGGTGGTGGTCTTTTGATCTTTATTCTATATGTAGGTTAGAAATTTGCGTATTGGAGCGATGATGAGAACTGTTTTGCCTGCATTAGCACAAGCTATTGTAATAACCTCCAGTGAAGGACCTGTTGAAAATTTGAAGGATCATCTTCAGGTGTGTTCCCTTCTTTGGGGTCAGAAATCATGAGATTTTACTTCTCAAAAGAAATGTTGTCGACGTGGCTTTTACTTGCTGGGGAAAAACAACTACTAGTTTCCACCATGTTCTGGTTGAACAATGTTTGTATTTAGATGTGATTCCTATTACACTACCTTTTGTCCAATGTACCATTTAATAACTTTTTCCTTCTGATTATTGCATTAAATTTCTTTTTCTTTCTTGTTCTTAGTGCCTTTCTTCAGCTGTCGTTGACGCTTATAACATACTTCCTCATTTGGTAAGCATTTCATTCTATGTACTAGTGCATGGCATATGCATTTTAAAGGTGTTGATTGCATTTAGCTTTTAATATTGAAATTTTTATGTGTGAATGATATTGTATTATCATAATGCACCATGTTATCCTTCTGTAATTTGTTTGGTTTTGACAATGCTGTCAATGAAGATAAAAGCTTCTTTTATTGTTTAATGTGTATTAATATCTATGAGTTGTCTGATTATTCTTCTGAATCAAAATATTAGCTATAGCATCTTCAAACCATTAATGCCCTGAATGCTTTGATTTGCTGTTGATTAGGATTTACTAATACCCAAATTAATGGAGAAAGGAGTTCAATTTTCTTCAATGGCTTTATCAATGGTTCCTGGCATACCCATCAAGCCAATGCTTGCAAAGTATGTTTGCCACCTACTTCTGCTGCTTTTATACTTCCTCCTTTTGTCTTATTTAATTGATGCTATCTCTCTTTGTATTAATTATTCTTATTCTTGTAGGATTACTAATGGATCCCCTCAGGTTCTGAAGCTCTTTCAAAACAAAGCCTTTACGTGTGAATATAAGTAAGTTCTCCACAAATTTGCTATTGCTTTTTCTTTTGTATTGCCGATCTTTCTGTTTTTGACAATTCTTGCACGCTTGGTTTCTACACAGCATGAATTTCTTGAATGCTTAGTAGGAGACAGTTTGATGGTACACCTTAGTGGCTCTAGCAATCTCATTTTATACATTCCGTTCTGGAAGTCTAGCTATTTTATGGGTGAGTAGTAAAAATGCTAGAACTTTTTTTCAACTGAGATCCTTTCTTCACGTAATGGGTTCGCACTCATTTGTGTTTTTGTCAAATTATGTATATGTATATAATGTTTCGGATGGGGTTCTGCCATTTATGCATGTGCCCAAATACTTCAAAGTTCCTTGGCACTTCAGTTAGTGGATTGAAGTTATTTTTTTCACTTAATTTAAGGTGAGATAACTCTAATATTTGGCGCTTGTGTGGTTGGCTTGGTGAAGGTTATATCCATCGTGGAAGATTTCTAATTTTTTTGGAGGTGCCCTATGTTTATAAACTGATGTAGATTTATGTTCTTGAGACAAGCCTCAAATTTTTGCGCTATGAGAAGTTTATATCAAGTATTTCAATGGTTTTACTTCATGGATGTAATGGCCTGTGATCCAATTGTTTAGGTTGATTTATCTGGTTTCTGGATCCTGATATGCTTCCCCCAATTTAATGCCCTTCATTGAAGTCAGAATCTTTTACATGTTGGATTAGTTGAATATTTTTGCTGAACGAGAAAAAATCCATTGCATGACTTTGCATCATTCTTGTCTAAAAGATTTGGACTTCATACTGGGATGCTTTTCAAACTGAATATGTTTGCCTTCTCTTCCTTTGATTGGGTTGGGTTCAGAGGTATCTTATTTCTCAAATATTATTTATCACTGTTAAGATTGGCTTTCACATCCAAGGAAGCATACCAGTCTGATCACATTGAAGTGTTTGGTGCACTTTTTTATGAATTCGGATCTGAACTGCATATTACTCCATGCTTTGTTGGTCTGATAATTAAGAGGGGAAAAGGATGCCACAGGTCCTTGAATTTAGAATCTATAAGGCCGTTATGTTACAACATTTGCTTGATATTTAAATCCAATTTCTGATCCATCCATGTATTTGCTCCAAAAGATGTATGGTTTTCAAGGCGCACAATCTTGTTTTTCTCCTATAGGATGTGGAATTTGTTTGCAATCTTCTGTTTGAATTTCGTATGTTATTGTGAGAAAGAGCAAATCACAAGTAACTTATGTAGATTAAAAAATCAAAAAAAGAACTTTATTTACAATGTCCTTTCTTAATTGAAAAGTCTGTCCAGACTTTTCTGAGCAGCATATATTTTCATTTTTCAGATATGATGGCCAGCGAGCCCAAATTCACAGATTAGATAATGGATCTGTTCATGTATTCTCACGGAGTGGGGATGAAACAACAACAAAATTCCCTGATTTATTAGATATAATTGGGGAAGCATGTGGCTCTGCTTCAATAACTTTCATAGTGGATGCAGAGGTATATTGCTTCTCTGATGAAATATACTAGACTTGTTGGCTTTGAAATTCATGCTGATTATTTTTGTGCATGGTTTGAAATGATTATTACCGTCTTCGATCATGGTCGTCTGTTTGTTTATTTGTGTTTGGCCTTGCATGTCCAGGTAGTTGCAATTGATAGGAAGAAAAATATGAAGCTTATGTCATTCCAAGAATTATCTTCTCGGGAAAGAGGAAGTAAAGATTCCATGGTTTCTGTAGGAAAAATAAAGGTAGCATGTTATGTTCTTTTACATATTGGGAACCTCTACTTTTCTTAAAAATTTTGTAGAGTTTTGTGTTATTGGGAGTGCCAATTGGGTATAAATTTGCATTTGGATTACTGTTACTTGCCATATGGTTCTGCTGTTCTTGTTGACATCATTGATACGCACTGGGACGAAAGTAGTAAACTTAATTCTTTCATTGTATTCTCTCCTAAACCTAGATAACTTAAGATTTTTGTTTTGCATTACATGGTTACCTATTGAAGGAGGTCGAAGCTGAAAATGATTACACAAAATTATGGAAATTTCCCTCTAAGAACATTTGGCATTTATTTTGTCTTCTAATGGTCACGGCTATTTTTTTTCCTAATGTCATAACTGTTCAATGATTATCTGGGAATCAGAAAGGAAGAAACAAGATGAATCTAAGAGAAGTTTGGTCATTATCCAAAAGCCATGTTTGTTTTTCTCCAGTAGGTTTGTCTATTGGAATCCAGAACCAGGTTGTGGCATGAAGAGAGTTTTATGGATATTTTAACCTAAATAGTGGTCAAATTGTTTCTGCAAGCAGTTAGCCGAGCAGTATTTTGTCTTCTCTTATTTAGGTACTAGGCATTTACAAAAGCCATTTTAAGAAAGATAAAAGCATGAATGCTCCTTGCATTTTGATGATGAATTGTTCAAATTCTTGAAGAAGCCAATCATGATCATTTTGCATTAATTGAAGGTCAGGAGTTTCCGGAGAAAGAATGAATGTGCATTAATGTGAGCTATCTAAATCAATCGAGCAGTCAGTTTTTTCACCTTTGAATAAAGAAAGTAGAAATTGAAAAGCAAAATGAAACATGTGTAAGAAGCTTTTAAAAAGGCGAGGTTTTGAGAAGGAAGAAGTTAAAATCAGCTGAACTAAAGCATCTGAAAACAGGCCTATCAAGTGCTTCATTATCTACGGGTTTTCATTCATTTCTTTTACCTCCTTATTACTTAGTAGTATTACAAGCTTCTGACATTTTGTTATATATGCAGGTTGATATTTGTGTTTTCATCTTTGATATTATGTTCGCGAATGGGAAGCAGTAATGATCTTGTACCTTTCTACAAACATTTATGGTTTAAATCATGTTTTACTGTCATGTATGATATTCAATATCAAGCTATGGTTATACTTTATAGCAGTCTACAGGGGATTTGAGAAAGGTTCTGAACTCTTATGTCGCCATCAATCTGTTTGGTCTCATTTTCATCTAAACTAAATGATTAATCTTGCCTGCGACTAGTTTGATTTATATAGTTTTATGTCTCTCACTGATCTTGATTCACATTTTCTCCAGGTTGTTGAGCCTTCCCCTTTGCCAAAGACGGATGCGTATGCACTTTCTCCATCTTTGCAGAGTAGATTTTTCTATCTTACCTGGGGGTGACTTTTAATTGCATAGATCTTATTTTAAGCTCATTTTAAACTTGCTTCTGAATTACAGATTTGAAGGACTTGTTTGGTCAGGAGAGACCAGGTTATTTGGAGTATGCAAAAGAAATTACGGTAAGTAATTTATTGTTAACACATATGATAGCCACTTTGTTGTCAAAGATGTCACGAATTTACTTCGTTTAGGTGGAGGCAGAAGATGCTTGTCCAAATAATGAAGCCACATTGACCAGGATGAATTGTTTTCTTGATAATGCAATCCATTCCTCCTGTGAAGGAGTCATGGTTAAATCTCTTGATGTGGATGCTGGATATACTCCGTCAAAGCGTTCTGATGCATGGTTAAAGGTAACGTAACAGAAGTTATAAAATCTTAACAAAGCAAAACAATTGTTGCTACTAACAAATAGTTTTGCTTTTGCAGGTGAAAAGAGATTATGTGGAAGGTCTAAGTGATTCGTTGGATTTAGTCCCTATAGGTGCTTGGCACGGGAATGGAAGAAAAGCAGGATGGTAATAATCCAGCTATTTCTTGTTCTGCACTTTTATCCTACTGTTTGTGTGCATCAGCTCTTTTCCCATGCTTTGGTAAGCTCGTCTAGATATTTTATTTCCAGATGAATGGAACCCATCATGCAGTGTTGAGAAAATACGTTAGATAATCATTAGCCTCTTAAGTTTCTCAATTGGAACGCAAATATTTCAATCATTAATATCGTGCTAGTGAAAGATATCTTCTTTATTTCTTAAATGTTTAACTTAAGGCTGTTTATGATGCTTCAGATTTTTCCTTTAGTGTCATGTTGGATTTTTCAGGAGCAAAGGTTGTTTTCCTTTTCTTCATTAGGAAACCCAAAGACGTGTTTTTATTTGCATCTTTGATGTGTGTAATTGATTGTTGTTTTTCAATGATTTAGGTACAGCCCTTTCCTTATGGCCTGCTACAATCCTGATACGGAAGAGTTCCAGAGTGTATGCCGTGTCATGTCGGGGTTTTCAGATTCCTTCTACAAAGAGGTAAATCAAGCATAATGTGGTATTGACTTGTTCTTTCAGTGAACTTCAAAATTCTTAGGCTGCAAAACACTTGATGACGCACAGCTGAGGGTCCTTTTACTAGTTTTTTTCTTTCGTGGGGGGTTGGGGTGGGGGGGGGGGTTCTTTTTACTATTTAACTCATGGTAATTGAAGATTTTGATATGTCATAGTTAACTTGAGATTACTTGGTAGCTTTTGATGTTTCATCTATAAGATTAAAAGTAGTTAGCGTTATTGCTCTATACATGCGCATAATAGTAGTCTCCGTGGCTATTAATTAGATTGAAACCTTCAGTTAGGTTGGTGGTGTTGTCTGTGAGAGTCGTGTGATTAGTTGTAACATCTTTTTATCCGAGTTCAAATCTTTGTATGAATATGCAAAATTGATGCAAAGGATTCCTCCTCGTTGTCTTTCCAATTTGGTAAATTGCTAGGTATTGTAAGCTGCCGGTAAGTCATAAATGCATTCAGATGACTTTCCAGATGCTCAGAAACTGATCAGGCATCTATGTTTATAACAGATGAAAGATTTCTTCTCTGGGGACAAAATCCTTGCAAAGAAGCCTTCTCATTATCGAACTGTGGAGGTGCCTGATATGTGGTTTGCTGCAGAATTGGTGTGGGAGATCAGGGGTGCAGATTTCACAGTCTCCCCTGTTCACCATGCAGCCATTGGTTTAATTCATCCGTCCCGTGGGATCTCAGTCAGGTTCCCCAGATTTGTTGGATCTGTATCTGATAGAAATCCTGAGGAATGTAGCACATCTGCAGATATAGCAGAAATGTTCAATTCTCAAACTCGAAAGATGAACCTCGACGAAATAGTTTGAGCTGAGCTTTTTGTATCACTGTAGATGGATAAGCTTTTTGCATGATGTAGCAATATACACAAGATTCCTTCCATGTCCATGGCTATAAGTTGGAATCTGTTCTGTATGGAGTGTTTAAACGTCATTATGGACCCATGTTGCTCGGCAAACGCAAGAACCTATGTCTGTAATCTTTGTCCACGAGAGTCTAGCAATGTCCAAGAAAGATGGAACATATCCATCCCCTCAAAAAGCTAAAAGCAGCAAATGTGCTCTAGTTGTTGAACCCAGCCACTGTACAGATGTTTCTTGACCTCGGACGGAATTACTGCTACTTTATCTTTTGCTCTCAGAGGCACTTGATCCTTTTGCTGCCTTAGGTCCGTCTCACGAACACGAAGGTCCTTGCCATTGCCATACGTGACAAACCAGTTTGGGTAAGCCATGTGATGTAACATAAGACTAAGACTGGATTACGATACGAGCCCAGTAAACGTCCATTTCCTAAGACGGACGGATAAGTTAGCAAGGAGAGGGAGCGGCCCAGTGGGCCCAAAAAATGCACCTCAAAAACTCCCGCCAAGCGCCAAAACCGGCTAGCCCCGGTTTCCAAACGGGTAGCCGGTGATCAAAATAATAAAGAGCTAGCCTAACAGTAATACACTGAAGAAATTGTTGTCATTCCAGCAGAAGAGAAGCAGTAGTAGAGTATTTAGTCCTTCCTCTTTGCTCTTGCTGGGCGTGTTGAGTCGCGGTCGCCGTCGTTCCTCCTATTGGGGTTTTTCTCCGCCGACCATCGAGTTCGAGGCGTTTTGCCTCCGTTCCATGAAGAAGAAATCTAGGGCTGAGCTGGTCTTGCTTCAACTTTGTCTAATAAAGCTAAAACCCCTTCGAGATTTTACAAGTTTACTTTAGCTTGCTCAAGTGGGAAAAAATGAGTGCTGTTAACATAACCAACGTCACCGTCTTGGACAATCCGGCACCGTTTCTCACCCCTTTTCAGTTCGAAATCTCCTACGAGTGCGTCACTCCTCTCAAAGACGGTAATTCTTTTCCTCTAAATAAGTTAATAGCACTTTTATAGAACTTCGAGATCCTTTTGCTACGTCGTAATCTATTATGTCGACATTCTGTTAGGATTTATGACTATTTTGTACGGTGAACAAATTGTTAAATCTGGATTTTGTGTGAGCTTGCAAGGAAAATTTATTCTACTTTTGCGGATTTTGCAGGATTCTTTTACTTACCAAATGCTTGTAAACCTAGTTGGAAAGAAGAATTATCATTGTTAACTGAAGACGGTAATCTAGGTCTCTGCATGTGTGCTCTTTTCTAGGGTTTGTAACTTCAGAATTTAATAGTTTTTTGTGGCTGAACTGGGCAGGATTACACACATGCATCATCAATTCAGCAAAGACTAAGTGTCTGGTTGTGAATTAGCTGAATTCCTTTTTTTTTTTTTAATTGATCAGTTAGATACTGTTATTAGGTGCTAATTTATAGTAGTTTCTTTCTCCGTATTAAGCAAATTGTAAGGTAGCTCTTATGTCATTTGTACTGATTTGGCAAAAATTGTTGTAAATTTAACGTAGAAGGTCCACACACTGACAATGTGGTTTAGTGCTTAATTGTTTGACTAATTCATGCATATGCACTTTGGTTTTTTAGCTTGAATCTTGTTAATGCAGCCAATTATGGGAAGGGTTAAACTGCTCTCTTTTAAAATCTATCTTGTTGTAACAGCATATGCCGGAAAGTTGAGGTGATCTGTGTCAACTAGTAAAATATTGGTGGTGCTTATAAGTAGTTTTCAGAATCCTAAAAAAATTCGCTGTCTATCTTCATTTGGGGCTTCAGTTTCATCTTAGAGCACCCAATATTGTTTAACAGATCAGATGCAGTATTCTTTTTTCTGTATAGCACCAAAAAGTGAGTGTGTTCTTTTTGAAGGACACAAAGAAAGAAACAGGTGTCATTGAGAAAACAGAAGTTACAATGACGGGGATGAGAATTCCCACAAGATAATTTTATTTAAACAGTCAAATGATTGCGTCTTCCAATTGTTGTTATATTTTGTTACCCAGATGGCCCAGTCCCACCGAAAAAAAAAACCTCAAATGCTGTTTTTTGTTAACTGTAACAAGTACCAAACTTTGGGAGCTGAAGAAGAGCGGGTGCAATTGTACTTGTCTTGATTTTGGTTTTGTGAGTTGATTGTTACTGGATTAGCATGTATGTATTGGTTAAAGTTGGAAGAATATAATCCTTTACTTGCCATGTAAAGAAATATGCTTATTTTGTATCTGCTCCAAACTTTTGCAACAGTAGCATTTTACAAGTTAGTGTTTGCAATCAGGCTAAAAGACTTGTTTTGAAAGGTTGCATGAAGAGAGAAATGAATGGGTCAATACTTTTCTAGGGCTTTTCAATGCAATTAATAGGTTGGATGTCTGCTATGTGCAATGTTAAGCCTTAAATGATTGCTTCAGTCCTCCACCACATAGTTTTGGCAACAATGAGTCACATTACGTCCATTTAGGTTCTCTGATATCAAGTCTCTTATTGGCTGTTTCCGTAGCATTAAATTCACTCATTTAAATTCATCTTTCAGCTGTGCTTTTCATGCATTGTATTGGATGTATTACGCGAATCATGCATGGATTTAAAGATATGTTTCAATTGATTAATGCGCTTAACGGGTAATAATAGGTGCTCTAGGCCATAATGGCAAGTTAATAATTGTTCTCTTCGTACATCCTTTAGTGTCTTGAATATGCCAAATCTGGAACTGGGCCTCAATATTGATTCTTTTACAGTATCATGGTTTAAGTGCTGCCATTCCATGTCTATCTAATGATGTATGGAGTTTTGGGATCTTTGGAGGATATTGCTGTGTCTTGTACGAAATTTCTGAACTGGCTCGCTGTTATCGGCTGTGTGCATCTGGTTGAACAGTTCACAAAGCAATTGTACCTCCATGTCTTAAATTTGCCTTCATGAACTATCAGATTTGGTGTTTTGTTGAACATAAAAACCATCATATTATCAGTGTTTTCTTTTGTTTTTCCCTTCTTGTTTTTGGTTATGGGGTTACTTGTGAAAGTAAATATATACATGATATCGTCCTTGCTACTGATATCCTTCAGATTGTCTTGAGTTAGCATTTGTAAAAACTTTTTGTCTTGGTATTATGAATTAGCTTTGTGGTTTTTTGCACTTGTGATAACTGTATTGCACATGCAGATTTAGAATGGAAACTCATCTATGTTGGATCTGCTGAGGATGAAACTTATGACCAGCTTTTAGAAAGCGTTCTTGTTGGGCCAGTCAATGTTGGTAATTACCGTTTTGTCTTGCAGGTAACTCCCATCGAATGAAATGTTTTTTATGAATTTGTTTACCATCTTTGTTACTCATTGCAGCTATCAACTTTTGTTGGTGACCTACCAGGCAGACCCTCCAGATCCTTCCAAAATCCGTGAAGAAGACATAATTGGTGTAACAGTGCTTCTACTGACCTGTTCTTATATGGGTCAGGAATTTGTTCGAGTGGGCTACTATGTGAACAATGACTATGATGATGACCAACTAAGAGAAGAACCTCCACAGAAAGTTTTGATTGACAGGGTTCAGAGAAATATACTTACAGACAAGCCCAGAGTGACTAAGTTCCCCATCAATTTTCACCCAGAAAATAGTGAAAGTGGAGAGCAAGGACCTCCTCCTGAACACGCAGCTGAACCAGAAGCAAATGAACAAGTGCCTGCTTCACCAGGTCATCTTTCAGATGGAGGACAATAAATCACAATGACATTAACTTTGCTTAATACCTGACTTATTTGTGTTTGAAGAGGATATCTGTCTTCTATAGGTGGACTGTCTACAGAGTCAACTGTTTCTTTTCTGCTCTATGTGTGAATCTGTGAGTGGCACACATGATTTTGAATAGCTTTGGTTAGTTAAGCTGATGATTACTGCAGCTCGTGTGCTCTTCTAGTTTTGTTGTGGAACTTACAAGACTTTGGAGGAAAAGTTTTTGGGTGTAGGCTCCTGCTTTAACATTTGCAATCTGAGTACTAGTTAGAAAAAAGCGTTTTTGCACAGCTGTATTGACAAGAGTAAGTTTAAGGACATGTCTTGAATAGTATACCTTCTGAAATGTATGTTACATTACAGTTGACATTGGCCTTTTGACCTTTGTTCACCAATTGTTAAGAATGCCTTTTCTTCTATGCTTTCCTTGCAGGTGCTCTTTAAACTATTAACTTCCGTTGTGATTTGTAGTATCCCTTTTAACTGCAGATTCGACCTTAGTCCTTCCATATATAAGTTCCCAAATACTCTGTTTGGAATAGTTGTTTTTTAGAGTATTTTAAAAAAATTTTACTGTAACAGTGTATATGAAAAAATTTTATTATAAAAATTTTTTGAAATATTTGATATATTATGAATGAGATGTTTTTTGAATTATTTGTATATTATTGTAGCATTGTAAAAAAATGGCCAATCCAAACTATGTGCGTATTAATTTAAACGAAATGTGAGGCTTTAACCCTCCAGCTGCAGGATTTTCAGTAGGTACTTGTTTAAGCCAGTAAAATGATTATTTGCGCTCATGCAGTGCAAGTACGGTAGTTAGAACCGCGTCTAATTGAGAAATGGGGCAGGAACGGTTGTCACAGCTATGATTTGGCCAAAAAAATTTGTGCGACTCAAATCACGTCTTATAACTCGATTTTCACGTCACGTGTGAGACTCACAAAAAAGTGTTATAAAATTACGTCGTGTGCAAAAAAAATTATGCCATGTGCAATAAAGGTTATGCACATGCAACCGTTTCTGCCTCTTGTCCATCTAATTGGCCCTCGACGTAAAAGAATGGACGTAAGATATCAATTTCCCACAGGGTCCTTCGAACAATTCTTAAGTTGGTTCTCAGTTCTCACAATTCATGCACACGAACCAAAAAGAAAATGAAAAGATTAGAAGCATTACCCAAAAAAAAAATGATTTAGCATTACGTTGACAAATTGGTAGTCTGAAATATCTTGCGGATGACATACTGATAGATAATGTAAATGCAAAATACGAAGAAAAAAGGAAAAAAACTGTTCCCCAGAGAATTTGCAGGATAACAGCACAAAATAGGCAACTTTGCCTTTGACCCAGCCCTCCTGCATCACTTGTCTCCAGTCCCGTCCCCCCAAGGGCCAACCTGCTGATAATGGGGGACGCAGAAAAAGGTTAACGTAGCCTCAGATCTGATATCAACAAGCTATACTTTCATTTTAGCTGCTTTGTTTTCTTGAAGGAAAGCCATCTGATTGCAATGTTTCACTTGCCATCTCTAAATCTCTTCTTGGCTGGATTCTTTGCCGATTGCCTTGCATGATCCAGGCTCGAACCTTTTCCCTTTTTCTGAAAGTCATAAGATATTCAAGATTACAATTGGCATTTATTAATGTCAACCACATTCATTGGGTGACAGAAGATTTACCTTCTTAAAATTTTTGCTGTGAATATGCCGCCGTTTGGCTCTCCCTGGGGTTTTAGGTGAAATCTGCTAAGAGTAATCATTCAATTATGCCAAGCCATCTTCCAGATCATGCTTACAGCATCAAATGATGCAGTGTACTCCCAAATGCAAGTGATCTAACCTGAGCAGAAGAGTTATTCTCTGGATCAACCTCTCCATTAGCTTTTCCATCATCATCCAGCATAAGCTTCAGCCTCCCTTCGCTCAATAACTTTTCAGATCGAGCATGTCTCTATTAAGAGATAAAGAGCATGCTTTTGTGAAATGAATCAGTAGGGACACACAATAAAGAGTTTTAATCAGTCTTACGAAGATTATACAGAAAGTAAAGGCTTCAAATGCCACACATAGATATCATTCTTCAAATGCCAGCCCTCAATTCCAACGCGAGACACAAGTAAGAAATGACACACTTCTGCATTTTAGAGAAAAATGTTGCCGCCACTGGTTGTAAAAATAGTATGCAGTAAAAAATCTAGGAAGTTTAATTAAACATAACATAGTTAAGTGTACATGTTGCATGCCCCCATTCTCATATTGTGCTTACCTTGGATTTCAAATGAGCCTTCAAGCTATCCTCTGTCAAGCAGACAATTCTGGGGCACAGCTTACACTTAAAAACAGATTTACATTTTACCACACGATCTGCAAAATCAGATGGGATATCACTAACTTCAGGCACAGAATTATGGTGTTCCAAATTGCCGTCACCAGATGGATGACTTTCCAGGATATTTTCTCCATCATTTCGAGATCCCCCATCGTCCTCACTTGTTGGTAAACCTACTAGAGGTAAAGATGGTTAGACATTTGTTCTATAGGCAATTTATATTGTATGCATCCTTAAGAGTTTACTTATAACAAAAACTAAAAGCTTCTTTGTCGTTCAGAGGGCCTAGCCATTCACGCGTTTGCTTAATACTCCAAAGTCCAAAAGATAGCAGTAAGACCATTACTACCACAAATTAGACAAGCACAGACATATGTTACCATCAAACTCTAAATTAGCATTTTCAAAATTTTAGGGCCATTTAGAAACTACAGATTTTAGGCCAAAAAATCATGTATATCAAAAGTTCCAAACCAACCTGAAGAATCTAGATTAAGTTCATTTGCAGAGCTATCCTCACTTTCATACCCTGCAGGGAGGGGGCAAAAACCATCAAGAAACAAGATGAAATACCTAAAAAAAGATAACAATGGTAAAATTAAAGCACTGCACGGAGATATCATTCATATGATACTAATACAATATATATATATCTTTAAATTTGTTATCTTTGGAAGCAAGGCAATGACACACCTTTTGAAAATTCTCACCCTGCAATGTACTAGTGTTGCTTTTCACCATTTAAGCAAGAAAGCTCCTATGAATTCTTGGTTTAGTAATTCAAAAAATGTAACAATGTACTGTCACTAACTTTTCGGCACTTTCTCACTCTCTGCGATAATAGCTCTCAAGCATTGTAAGTTACAATTTACCCACTGCCAGAAAAAACAAAGGTACCTGAAGAAGAGGAGACAGCTTGACCCCCTCTTACTTCTGCTATTCTGTCATCATTATCTCCACGTTCTTCTTCCTCCTCTTCGCTTTCTGTTTCTGCAGTGGCTTCTGCCTCCAATTCAGAGTCAGATGAAGACGAAGATTCAGAGGGAGCATCTCTATCGCCGTGATCAAGCTTGTAAAATCTCCTCTTTATCATTTTTTTTTAAATTTGGCCTCTTTTGTTTGACTACAAGAATTCAACCAATCAAACTAATAAAAAACAGAATTAGCAAGCTTCGAAAATTTTTTTTTTTTTATTAAAGTGTACAAAAGAAATTTCTGGGCTGTAAAAATTTCATCCCGACACCCTATCACTTGATGAAGCAGTCATATATCCGGCAAGGGTACGGGCACAGTCAAACAACACATCAGAATAAAAAAAATTGAAGAAAACCCCAGAAGGGTTGTTGGGTTTTTGAAACTAACAAGTCCTTCATACGCAATTAAAGGGCAGAAAACAAGGTCCATTGTTGCAAAGTTCATTCATAAAGTTAATAGGGGAGGAGGAAAGAAAAGTGAGGACATTTATGTATACACACATATTTACACCACCAACTACATGTAAATATAGGCAGTTGTATATAGAGACACGTCAGAAAAGAGAGTTACCTGAGAGGAATGGAGGGTGGGCGGTGCTGGTGGCTGATGGCGACGAGGAGCTGAAAGAGGGTTTTGGAGCGTTTTATCATACAGATGTAGGGTAGGATCGGGCGTAGTTCAATATGAGTAGTTTAAGATGACGCGGCGCCTCCTGGTAACGGGAGAACAGTTACCTGAGAATTGATGAGTGACCTTTGGATGGGAATTATTTGTTAAAAAATTATTCGTTTATATTATAAATATATTTTTTGATATATTTATTTATTTATTATTTTATATGCATTATATCATAAAAAATATTATAATAATTATTCGAAATAATGCCTTAAGTAATCACCTACCTGTCCCAAACACTACAGTAGTGAGTGAATAATATATGGAGATTGTAATGAGAAATCTAGTAATATATGAGCAAAGGTTGTATTAACTTGGTTTGATAATCGTCTAGATTATGTATTTTCTACTTAACTAGTTCAGGGAAGTATCCAGTATTTCATGGATGAGCAAGAATTATAATTCACAATTGGAGTGAAGAAGTAAATATTAATAAACGAGAAAGCAAAAACCAAATTCATTTCTTTTCTTCTGGTAAGGTAAGCCCAAATTCGTTGGACTTGGTGACAAAACCTCACCATAACTTCCCAATCGAGTTCCTGCTCAATCAAATGAGTCATGCTCAGCCCAGATCAGCGCCCCCAGTCCCCTCCCCACCTAAGTAGCTTCATCATTCTTTGGCTAGGGGAGGAAAAAAATAAAAAAAAAAGAAGCATGAAAATTTGCACCGCTACTTTAGTATAAATTGCAAACCACTAGGATCCTCATTTTTAGCGAATCATCTATTTCTACGTTCTCGTAATTCTCAAATTTTCCGCACTTTCCAACTTCTTTTGAACATGGCAGAGTCTGATGGAAAAACCTCAACTTCAATTGATGGCAACACTCTTGTGGCCATGTGCCTGGCACGGGCCGGGGTGGACAAGATGTTCGGAGTTGTGGGTATCCCCGTAACCTCCCTAGCCAACCGGGCCGTGGCTCTCGGAATCCGCTTCGTCGCTTTCCACAACGAGCAGTCCGCCGGCTATGCTGCCTCTGCTTACGGCTACCTCACCGGCCGTCCCGGTATCCTTCTCACTGTTTCCGGCCCCGGCTGCGTTCATGGATTGGCTGGTCTCTCCAACGCCGGCGTCAACGCCTGGCCCATGGTCTTGATTTCCGGCTCGTGTGATCAGAAGGATTTCGGCCGTGGTGACTTCCAGGAGCTCGACCAAATTGCCGCTGTTGAACCCTTTTCCAAGTACTCGGTGAAAGCCACTGATATTACTAAAATCCCTACCGTTGTTTTCGAGGTTCTTGATCGAGCTGGTTCGGGTCGCCCCGGCGGGTGCTATTTGGACCTCCCCACTGATGTGCTTCACCAGAGTGTTGCTGATTCCGAGGCCCAGAAATTGATTGATGAAGCTGAGAATAGTAGGAAAAAAGAGCTGATTGCCAAGCCCTTAGTTAAGAATTCAGAGATTGAAAAGGCGGTTGCTTTATTGAGGAAAGCAGAGAGGCCTTTGATCGTGTTTGGAAAAGGGGCTGCATATGCTAGAGCCGAAAATGCATTGAAAAAGCTAGTTGAAAGTACTGGAATTCCCTTCTTACCGACTCCTATGGGGAAAGGTTTATTGTCTGATACTCACGAGTTAGCTGCCACTGCTGCCAGGTCACTGGCAATTGGGAAATGTGATGTGGCGTTGGTTGTTGGAGCAAGGCTTAATTGGTTATTGCATTTTGGGGAGCCACCAAAGTGGTCCAAAGATGTGAAGTTTATCTTAGTGGACATAGATAAGGATGAGATTGAACTAAGGAAGCCTAGTGTGGGATTGGTAGGAGATGCCAAAGATGCTGTGGAAAGGATATACGAGGAGATCAAAGATGAACCTTTTTGTTTAGGAAAGTCTCACCCTTGGGTTGAGGCCATAGCAAAGAAGGTTAAGGAGAATGTGTCAAAAATGGAGGTTCAGTTGGCGAAGGATGTTGTTCCATTTAATTATATGACACCATTAAGGATTATTAGGGATGCAATTCTTGGATTGGGTAGTCCTGCTCCAATTTTAGTTTCTGAGGGGGCAAATACTATGGATGTTGGCAGGGCAGTGTTGGTTCAGACAGAACCAAGGACTAGGTTGGACGCAGGGACGTGGGGGACAATGGGGGTTGGTCTGGGATATTGCATTGCTGCTGCTGTGGCATCGCCTGATCGGCTTGTTGTGGCTGTTGAAGGGGACTCTGGATTTGGTTTCAGTGCAATGGAAGTTGAGGTTTGTTTTTGTTGCTGTTCATGCCTCTTTTTGTTGTCTTTGTTCACTCATTACTGTCTTTCATATTGTCATTTTGACATACATCACTTCATTGTGAGTTGTTGCGTTTATTTTAGTCAGCATACCAGAATACTTTTTTCCCTATATTCTGCTCTGGTTTTATTTGCTTGCACATTGGTGCAAGGTCTTGCTTCATGTCTATTGCATTCTTACTGGGGCGTCAATGGATAGTAGAGTTTTTCTTGAACTTCCTTTCTTCTTGTCAGCCTTGAGAATTGCACTCCAGAAGTTGCTAACGACTGCATCAGTATCATCAATTTCATGAATGCCTTGAAGCGCCATTTAATGTGTATTTGTTGTTTTGCATTTTTCTTCTTTCAGATTTAGGTGATATTTGTTCTGAGTCTTACCAAACTTATATGTTCCAGTTTGCGTTCTACCATCTTTGATACACTATTTCTACCACCATGCTATCTGCATTAGAGCAATTTTTTTGGATCTCCAACAGGCGTTGAAAGGCAAAGAAAAGAGTTATCTCGGGGGAGATATTGTTTAAAAAAAAAAAAGCAGGAGGGAGATATTGTACTTTTCCTGTGATTCTTATTTGCAGATCAAGTGATTGGCTGGAATTAAAGTGTTTCTCATGGAATATTTGGTTTTTCCTTGTTTGAACCCATTTTTTCCTCCTTATTCAAAACTTTCAGAAATAAGTCAAGGTTGGTCCACCCATTTGCTTACAGAACTCAAGTGACTAGGAGAACTTTTACGACAGAAACAAGTGTATCTAAAGCTATTTGAATTGGAAAACTACAAGTTCTCTGAAATTTGTCTGATTGAGTAGTTATAACTTATTTGTTCTTAAAACAGGCTATTCATCATAGTCAGAATGACTTGTATGATCCCTATCGTATATGGGCAGAGTAGTTGGTACAAGGCATCTGCTTTAATAACTGTTGTCTGGTTGAGAGCTTTTATGACAAGTGATTGCAGAAAGAATGCTCTCTTGTTTGCCTATAGAACTTGTTTTAGTGAATCCGTAACTGAGAACAGGATAATAAAACTTTGATCTTCCACGAGTAAGGTTTAAAATAGATAGATATAATACTCATAATCATGGGACTACATATTTCTCCCTTTTCTCATATTATCTTTGGCAATATGATCAATTTTGTATTTTGCTTTGTATGTTTTCTAGTCGATGATTTGCATCACAGTTCATACTTTTCATGCCAGAATCATGCTGCAATTTACCATCTCCTTAAATTGCAGTGCATGAGCCCGATCTTATTGTTCCTTTTGTTTTATAAATCTTTTTGATAATAGCACTCAATCAGAAAAATTCCCATTTTCTTCATTCCTGATAACTCATAGAAAGAAGCAACATTTTAAGGCCTATGCTTACCTACTATTTTTTCACTAGCGATCCTTATGAAATCATGATTCAGCATTTCTCTATGTTTTAGTGTCCTTACACCAATTCTATGGTTTTTAATTGATTTAAATGCCGTGCACTTTTATCTTGCAGACCTTGGTTAGATATCAGTTACCTGTAGTCATTATAGTTTTCAATAATGGTGGGGTTTACGGTGGTGATCGAAGGAGTCCTGAAGAAATCACAGGGCCTCACAAAGATGACCCAGCACCCACGTCTTTTGTTCCCGGAGCAGGTTATCATGTTCTAACGGAAGCTTTTGGGGGGAAAGGTTATCTCGTTCAGACGCCTGATGAACTCAAATCTGCACTTGCTGAATCTTTTTCGGCACGGAAACCTGCAGTGTTAAATGTCATACTTGATCCATATGCGGGTTCAGAAAGTGGAAGGTTGCAGCACAAAAACTGAGGTATAACCAGAATGCATGACCTAATAAGCAGTACCTAAATTCTTATTTGATAAAACATATGGATGTTTGTTTTGTTCTTTTACGTAAACTTTCCAAAGTGATCTGCTCAGGTGTTTTCTCCGACTCAAATGAGGAAAGTTAGTGCTGTCGCTATAGTGTATTCTTATCATGTGGTAACAAATTGCACTTAATGCTTTTATCCTTTTAATATCTAAATACACGTGCAAGTAGAAAGAGCATCCTCTGCTACAAGCCTACATGCTCATTGCATGAGGGTTGCTGATTTACCAAATGTCGGGTCGAAGAAGCAGCTGGTATCCCTGTCTTGTTTTGTTTGAACAAGAAAGTTAAGAGAGCCAGCAGCTTCAACATTTTGAAGACATCAGTGGCAGGTTTTCAGGACTACCATTAGCTTGTATGGAATAGTGTAGATAGTTTTTCTTGGAATGGTTGTTGAGTTCTTTTGCAATTATGTGCTTGCTTTTCATCTGCACGAGAGAAGAAAACATGCACTCCGGTCGGGAACTGTATCATTACTTGTTTTGAGTAGATTAGGTATAGTTTCTGCAACTTTGATCAATGAGTAGGAAAATTGCTGTAGGAATTTGCATTTGGGAATCACTCTATGGATCTGAGACTCGGCATATAAGGATTCAGGCCTTAAAGGTAATAATGTTGATTGCTGCACATACCTGCGCAGTATTTTCCTCTTTTTCTTTCTTCTTTGTGTTATCAAACTTCTACATTCATCGACGCCTTGCTCAGTTGCTCTCTTTGCGCTCATCCGTTAAGAATTCAGAGAATAGCGTAAGCATTTACCGCTAGCTGTTCAGCAGTCGGACTCGAGTCAAAACGACCAGCTTTATTCTATTCTAGGACACACGAGACTGGTATCCAGTTATCTGTCGGATAGGATGTTCTCAAGTACCACCCAAAGGCCGGTTCTCAAACATATAATACCTTCTCTCGGCCAAGTTGCTAGAAGTTGCTTTCTTGGCATCAAACTTTCTCAGAGTAAATCGGAAAGACGAGTGACCCTTAGAATAGATTGTAGTAATATTTACTTATTATTCTGTAAAACGGATGCACGTACGCAAGAAAATTCCATGAACACTCCTCCTGCCTGGATGAAGAACTTGGTCACGCTTTGACATAAGACCATTTATTGTCTGATCTATTTCCAGAAAAAAAAAAAAAAAAGTGCTTATCTTCAACAAAGGGAAAAAAAAAATGTCATATTGACTATTGACTCGTGAGCTCCATTGCTGCGGCAAAATCTGTTTTCCAGAGGTACGTATGAACAAGACTTTCTTGATTGCAACTGCAACTAGGGAAGGAATGGACAGAACAGATGAGAGTAAAATGTGCAAAGAAAGAAGTGACTCCAGCTCCTGGAAGACCAACAGGTAGAAAGCCCGCTTTCTCAGGCTCAAAGCTTCTAGACCTTGTGTACGAAGGTAAGATTTTTGGCCTACAAAGATCAAAGTACAATAATAATAATATCATAACCACAATGAGATTTATTAATAGCTAATTTAACGTGGTCCTAATTCTGAAAACTGTGACCGGAGCAGTTTACCTGCATAAAAGCGCTGGAGTGTAGAACTTAAAATGAGCGGAAGTGGAATCGGACTTAAAAAGAGTAACCAAAATTTTCAACCGCAGTATTCTCTCTATTGAAGATTGAAGAGAGAATCGGTAAGAGATGCAGCAGAAGACTAGAAAGTTGAGTCGCGGTGTGGAAACACTGGGACGCGTGGAAGAAGACCACATATGCATTGGGCGTGGGAAGTGTTACAATTCTAGTCTAGGAGCACCAAGCCAATGGATTGTTATTTCATTCTTGATTATTTGACTCCACCAAGGTGAGACAATTGGTTGCTAACATAACATTTGGTCCAATTATTACATTAAGGATTTAATTTCTGCACAGTCCTTGATATTTACAGACCATTTTAGCTTCTTTTTTTTTTTTTTTCCATATGACTATGAGTGATTTTAGTTACACCATTTTTTAAAATCTTCTTTCTGTGGATAGCAGCATCCAGCACCTCCGGTAAGCAGGAATTATCCCTTGTCATCACCCTGTGTATTCAGTCTCTGAATCCAGCTGTATTCACTCTGTGGAGATGGATTCTTCCAGCATCATCTCCTTGTGTTAGTCAAATAATCTTACTTCTCGTGAACTTTTGTCTATTATTCTTGACTGCAGGGAGCTGTTGACTACGTTCCAGCAGATATGTTTCTACCATAACTATCGCGAAGCAAACAAATGTGCAGACATCCTAGCAAATTGGGAAAGAAGCAGCAGCACTCAAGACTTCACTTTTTTTGAATTATGTTCTAATTTTATCATTTCCTTACTTTTGCAAGAAGATACTTTTGCAAGAAGACTTAAAAGGGTGTTACCACTCCCACGGATGACTGTACTTTAACTTCCGCTGTGCAGACTTGACTTTTACTTTAATGCATCTTTATTTACCAAAAAAAAAAAATCTTTGGTAGCTGCGACTTGCGAGCCAGCGAACCGGTGGGGAGAGCATAAAATGATCACGAGGCCACAACAATGAACAAAGGGGTTGGACAAGTCCAACCATTTCTCCCCGGCTCTTGGATGGATAAACCGTTTGGGCCAAATCTGTGCACAGAAGAATTGGGTCCTCGGAAAGGGCGTCAGTAAAGATGGGACTACTGAGCCAGTTGACAGCTACCTCTCGTGGGCCCAAATGATTTCCAACTTCTGTGCCAACATGCAAGTGCAAGTGACGTCTCTCACTAAGACTGCAAACGAACTCGTGAGCGGCTCTAGTTAAGTTGGAGTCAAGCTCAAAATATTAAACTCGTTAATTCTCGAGCTGACTCGCGAGTTCGAATATATATATATATATATATATATATATATATATATAATATTTTTTTTATTTTAAGTATATATATATTTTTTATTTTAAGTATATATATATTTTTTATTTTCTTATTTTAATAGTAAAATTACATATATATCCTTAATATTTTATTATTTATAAAAAAAATTATTTTATTTATTTTTTAAAAAATTAAATAATTATTTTTATCTTTTTTCAAGCTCGAGCTTTTAATTGCCAGCTTGTCAAGTTCGAGTTTGAGTTTGAACTTGGTAAAATTTAGTCGAGACTCGCCCCAATTAATTCAAAACACTCGATTCGACTCAGTTCGTTTGTAACCCTACTCTCAACCTCCTTTATTTATTTATTTTTTTTTTTTAAAAAGGCGCCGACAGAGTGGGAGAGCATCCTGGTGGTATTTTTCAGATTCGGATCCTTTCGCAGTTGCGCTTGTACTAGCAGAGCAGTTGATTTAAAATTTTATTGGGATTTTAAATCATCGATCAAGATCCAATTCAAGCTCGGAACGGAAAAAAACAACGCTTCAACAACTGTGGATCCTTATACGTGCGTCCTGAATGAGCGCTACAACCAAATTGATTTATGCGTTTCAAATATATATATTTTTTGGCACAGGAACAGAGAGAAAATTCAGAAATGTTGGGTGGTCATTAGTTTTTTTTTTTATTTTTAGCTGGAATAAGTTTGGAATGCGTGTTTGGTAAGTAGAATGTAGGAAGAAACATGCAATCGTTGTTGAAACTTGAAAGATGATTGATTCCATTCCATCCCATGCACAGGTTTTGTGACTGGGGAAGTTCTCCAGGCTTTGCATAAAATGCGGTAACGAGTCCTGGGACGATACAGATTGAATTGTGAGAAGGAGCAATTGCCAAAGAGGCATGTTTGTCGTGCGAGTTGGAACTGCCCTTTCTTTTTCCCTGGAATAATTCTAATTTGTACAAAGGGAATTCAAAGGTTTCGTACTGTCCACTCCAGGACAGAACACATCCTATCCTATCCTAGTAGTAAGTAACCTCGCTTTTACCCTTTTTTTTGAATCTCATCTTTTGCTGCATCCAGATTCCAGAGCACATAACTTCTTGTCACCATTAAAGGTAGCCTACCGTATCGTAGTAATAGAACCTTTTTTTGTCATAATTGCTTATCTCAACAATAAACATGATGGTATTAAAAATCTCACATTCTCTCCTTATATTTGTGTTAGGTATGTTACGACTGTGTGTGTTTGGAAAGTGATTCAAACCCTTATAACCTGTGGTGGGTCTTTTAGGGCATTCATTTAAAATTTTGACCAAATTTAAAGTTTGGTTACCAAAAGTGCTAAATTAGGTGCAATTTTAAAAATTCAAGGCCAGAAATCTCAGGGAGGCTTATGAAATTATCCCACAGTTTCTTTTTCCTGGATGCTATCAAGCAAATAGTCACAGAGTCATTGATTCGTGGCACAAAGTCAGCGGCGGCGGTGGGCTTTTCGAGTTCAGAGCTAAGATCCTAGGCCTTGCATAGAAACAAAATCAGCTGCTCAACAACGACACTTTTTATCAACGAACTACACCACTCATTAGGCTTGTTTTATGTGTTATGTTCATGGCCGCATGTCAGGGGCAGGCGACAAAATAAATATCTCCGAATGGATCCACTCCATCCAATTATCCTCCTCTGTTATGCGATGAGCCGGCTTGACCCGCAGCAGTTCCTTGACCAACTCCGGGCCTAATAGAAGCAAGCCCGAGCCAGGCCCATTTTTGTCCTATCCATCATGCTCACGTGCGCTAGTAATAAATAACTGAGCTGTTCTCAAATCCCCGGTACTTCTCATCAGATTCTGTTAACTCTGATAGCCAGCTATAGCAGGCTAAGTAACCAAGCAGATTTTCGTTTTGTACATAGATAGTCTCGAGACTCTCAACTCCAATACGAGAAGTTTGTGCATTTCAGTAGTCGTCCTTCAAGAAAAAGAGAGCGATGGAAGAGGCACTGCTGCCATATGAAAATGTTGAGGACACGAGATCAAGAAAGGCGGAAACGTGCAAGCCTTATGTGGAAGAACTGAAGAGGGTCAACAGCATAGCACTTCCGATGATAGTAGCAACAGTCGCACAATATCTCTTGCGAGTTTCACCGATCTTTATGTTGGGCCATCTTGGGGAACTCCAACTCTCTGGTGTCTCCATTGCCACATCCTTTTCCAATGTTACTGGCTTCAGTGTTCTTGTAAGTTCTTTCGTATTCCTCAAAATTTTCACCTGATAAATGCTGCTGAAGATTTTAATCAATCAGATAACTCATCTTAATTATCATATGCTATTAGATATTCTATGACAAAGCAAGCGTATGAATGCAAATTGTCTTGTACTAGAAGCGTAGTAGTCAATCTAGAATCACTTTTGAACGTAGTTAGCATAATATGCTGCAAAGATGTTTGTACAAGTACAAATATGTATGCATTCTTCTCATGTCAACTGACTTCTTATTTCACTCGAATATCCTTGTATCATGAGCCATGACTCATCCCTGTTGATATTTTAAGTTTTGCTTTTTGGGGAAAGAATCATCAATACTTGTGCTGCTCTCAATCACGCCAATTGCAAATATGGCTTCTCTCTGAATTTTGATGCCTGATGTAGCAAGTCAATTATATATGTCAAACAACTTCATGTCAACTAAAAGATTAAGGCTGAAAAAAAAAAAAACTGTTAAGAACTGTGATAATATTGGACAAGTAGTGTCCAGAACATACTTGATTAAGTACTGATACAATTAACTATCACGCAGTTTGGGATGTCAAGTGCACTGGAGACCTTGTGCGGGCAGGCTTTTGGAGCAGAACAATATCAAAGACTAGGAGCTTATACATATGGGGCCATCATGGGTCTCTTTATGGTTTGTATACCAATATCCTTGTTGTGGATCTTCACAGACAAGCTATTAATACTCACTGGCCAAGATCCTGCAATTGCAACCGAGGCTGGCCTATACTTGATTTGGCTCATTCCTACACTATTCCCTTATGTTATTCTCCAGTCACTTGTTCGCTTCCTTCAGACTCAGAGTTTAATCTTTCCAATGCTGTATAGTACAGTTGCATCTCTATGCTTACAGGTGCCCCTTTGTTGGGCTTTAGTATTCAAGTTCAATCTGGGGAATACTGGAGCAGCTTTGTCCATTGGTATATCATATTGGTTGAATGTGATCTTGCTTGGGCTGTATGTGAAGTATTCTCCTTCCTGTAAAGACTCCCGTCTTCCTTTCTCTATGGATGCTCTTCAAACAATGGGGGAATTCCTCCGTTTTGCCATCCCTTCTGCTGTAATGGTTTGGTATATTTATCTTTTAACCTCTCCAATTGGCTAGGCATATTAGTCGTTCCTCTGGTTCTGTAATACTCTATCTACTAACCTTCTTGATCACTTTAGCTTACTATTGTTTGCAAAATGATGGTAGTCTGGAATGGTGGGCATTTGAGTTAATCATATTGCTGTCTGGCCTGTCACCAAATCCTCAGCTGGAGACCTCTGTGCTATCTATCTGGTTAGCCTTTTTTTTTTTTTGGACCTTTTACTTCTCTGATGGAATCTAATAAGTTAATGTAACTGATTCAAAATTTCCTTTGGAACAGCTTTACTATTGCTTCATTGCACTACCACATACCCTACTCTTTTGGAACTGCTGCAAGGTTTGCTCCCTACTCTTATGCAATGAATGCATTGATACATAGACTACATCTCTTAGCCTAATAATCCAGAAATAATCTTATGAGCTCATGCAAGTAAGGTTTCCGCTGAAAGACAACCTTTGTTATCTTATAGTACTCGGGTATCAAATGAACTTGGAGCAGGGAATCCACAGGCAGCACGAGTAGCTCTTTGCATGGTGCTATTAGTATCTGTATCAGAGTTTCTTGTGGCAAGCACTACTCTCTTCCTCTGCCGTACTATACTTGGATATGCCTTCAGTGACGAGAAAGAAGTTATTAGCTATGTCAAGGACATGACTCCTCTTTTATGCATCTCCATCATGATGGATAGCACACAGGGCGTGTTATCAGGTATCCTACTATCTTGGGTTACTACTTTCTCAATATGTTGACTGACATGAAAACTGGGATAACATCAGAAAGAGTTACATCAAATCTTAAATTAACTATTAGAGCAACTTTGCAATTTGAGTTAAACAAACACTACAATAATTTTGTGTAAAATTCGTATCTTCGTGATATGATTTCGAAAATGAAAGAGAGCTGACTTCCATGTTAGTCCTACTCCTTGTCTTTGTTGAGTGTAATTTGAGATCACAAACTGAAGACATCATAATGGCTGTCATTAAGGTATATGGAGGATTTTGTTTCACATTGGTTAAGATTTAAGCATAACAATTAGATGTGAAGAAAGGATGCAAAAATTGTGAAAATACTGGAAAGATGTGACGAAATTAGCAATTGCCATATCGTAAAAGCAATTGCAGTTCTGTCAAGTGTCAACTGATAAATTTGTTTATCCTTGTCCATTTTCTCCTGACTTGAGAACTGCGTTTGGATGACATAAACACAAAATCCACCATTTTAGAACTTCGATAAAAAAACTTGTGACATCATATAGCACTGGACGTGTTTATTTCCTACCATCTTCTGACTTGATGCAATCCTTTTGCATTCAGGGGTAGCAAGAGGAAGTGGATGGCAGCACTTGGGAGCTTATGTAAATCTAGGGGCATATTATCTGGTTGGAGTACCGACGGCTTTAATACTGGGATTTGCATTGCATTTAAGAGGAATGGGTCTTTGGGGTGGACTGCTCTCTGGAGCTACGGTGCAAACTCTTTCCTTGTCTGCTATAACAAGCCTAACAAACTGGGAAAAGCAGGTTGGTGAACGCAAAGTCTATTGAATTACCAAACTTTCCCCCAGATTTTTATCCTTCCGCTAAATCCAACTTAATTCACTAGTAAAATAAAATAATGCTGAATCATGTTGGGAAAAAATCAGTTAGTTGCCTGACTCTTACACCTGTGGATACATGACAGTCAATGGAAGCCAGGCGCAGAATATTTGAAGCGCAAAAAGAAGAACCCGCTTCAGTATGAGTAAATTCGAGAAAAACACCAGCATTTTTGTGTTTCCGACATTCTAGTTCCATCAAGAACATCAGGCGGGGCTCCTATTGCTGCGCGCAGTAAGATTCTTGAACGTCTGTTTCGCGTCAAATAGGATTGCTACCTGTGCTAAAGACGAAAGATGATAATTTTTTGTTCTCCATTGCACAGAGAGGAGCTGATGGTTTTCTTTTAAATAACCGCTTGACTTTGCAATAATATCGAACTTATGAACATCCACAGCGTGCCTAATCACTTTTCCCTGAAATAATTTTGAGGTGGGAAAATGGACAATGTCGGCTTAAAATTGAAGGGCGCATGCCACCGTTTTTTTTTTATCTGCTTCTGCTGCAATGGAATATAACTCATCACATGGTAAGCGCATGTCGAGATAGAGAGCTTCATTGCATGAGGTGTATTGGATGCTATACGACCAAATTATTCTTTTCCCAAAAATTGCTGTAAGATTTGAATCCTACGGTCGGAAAAGGAAGAGGAGTTGGGTTGCAAATAATAAGATTTTGAATCCACCCACCATTTGCGACTACGTTAAATCCGCCTGAGATGATTTGGAAAAGGAAAATGAGTTGACTTGCATAAATATGGCAGTATCGTATGATTACCAGAAAACAGCCTCTCCTGGGTAGTTCGGTTAGTCACGTATCCTCCTCGGGAAGTATTGTCCATATCTCCCATCAGGATTAACGTGTTCGAGAGAATGGGGTCTCTCCTTTCGGGTTGCAGGAAAATTAGTCGGGCCGAAAGTCCGGATGCCCCTGCATCTGAAAAAATATATATATATAATTACCTGAAAACATAACAACAGCTGCCACAGTGTACTATAATATCAATAGATACACCTGTTTTATAAGGGAAGAAGTTTGCAACTTCATATATGGGGAGCTAATTTATGGGACTTAATGATTGTGTATGAAGCAATGAAACCGTGTCAGCTGGTAAAATGCTAAACTCCTAAGAAGGATAACAAGTGCCTATTTTTCCAAGCCATTTTGAATATCCCCCCTGCCAGTCAAATCAGAGATCAAAATTTTCCAGTTTTAATTAACCATCCATTTCAATATAACGTCAATTGAAGGAGCCAAACAGAAAAAATTAACGCCACATATGTTTGTCCTTTGCATGTTATGGTCTTCTATACTCTGCACCGCCAAAAAAAAAAAAAAAAAGAATCTGTAAAAGGTATTCTGGGCTTTTTGCGGCTTCAGACGGATGAAAATTGAAGGAGCAATCTTTTGTAAATTCGTGGGATATTTGTATTAGTCCTAGTGCTAACATTTTTCTCCAACTGACTGTCATTTCTATTTGTTTCGATAGAATGAAAACTTGGTTAAAGTAATGCTATGGAATCTCTTTCCTTAAACGGTACTCTATGATGTTAATGATTTGTTTGTTCCCAACTTTGTGTGTTCCCTCCCCTTGAATATTCTAAGGGCAGCTCCAATGGGGGTGTAATGGGCACCCCTCCATGACACGGCTCCCCATTGGAGCCGTGTCATGGGGATTACACGCATCACATGTATGATGCGTGTAATCCATTGAATTTTCTTCCTATGGCAACGGTAAAATTTCAGCGAGGGGCAGATTTAACATTTCCAACGGCACTATTATTTCCAACGGCACTATTTTTAGAATTCTATATAAATACACAACACTTTTTACTAAAACATATCCCAATATTCTACTCTATTATTTCTTTTATTCTCTCACACACTTCTACTCTCTCACTCATTTAATTCATTTTTTGTGATTATGGATGAAAATTGGAGTAGTTTTACAAATATGTTAAATGCTCCAAATATAGAAAATTCATCATCCTCACAAAATCAAAACCCCCAAAATTTTCCAAATTACCCATTTCTGGTATTCCTACAAATGTGCAAAATTACGTAGCAGCATTTGAAGTATCAAATATTTGTTTAATTTCCTACATAATTATTTTTAAAAAAATAACAATATATTATTTTTGAAACATAGAAAAAGATATATTATTCAAACTTAAAAATTAATAATATCATTTTTAGAAAATAAAAAAATTCAAAATGTACAAAATTTAACGAAAGTTAGTACTTTATTTTTTAAAAATAACAAAATTAGTTTTAAAAATTACTTTATTTATTTATGGGATATGAGTTATGCATTATTAAAATAAATATTTGATTAATTGTGGACCCATGCTATTACACCTTGTGGAGTGTAATCCATTGTGAGTGAAAGTGTAATAAAAGAGGAGAAAATGGAATGCTGACGTGGCATGTGGATTACACTCCACAAAGTGTAATAGCATTGTGGATGCTCTAATTAAGAACCTCGAGTATCGGATCTCACATCTCAATTTTCAACTGATCAAGAAGAATTCGAAATTTGTCGTCTCTTGCTCAAGAACACTTCAATTTGCCTTAGAGTAAAACCAATGATGGATGTGATTGTGGAAAGAAACAATTGGATAGAGCCCAGAAGAAGCACATTGCTAAATTGCCATACTTGAGGATTAACCCTGAAGCAATAAAAAAAAAAGAAAAAAGTTTTTGTTTATTATTTTATAAAAACCATATCTTTGCTTCTATAAATAGTTTTGAATCAATAATTATTTTAAATCTTAAAAATGAATATTAAAAATTAGATAAATTGAAAGAAAAATAAAAAAAGCAATTATTTTAAATCCTCAAGTATGGTTCGAATTCCATTGCAGCAGAAGAATTAAAATAATTTCTTCTTTTTTTATTTTTCTTTCAATTTATCTAATTTTTAATATTCATTTTTAAGATTTAAAATAATTATTGATTCAAAACTATTTATGGAAGCAAAGATATGGTTTTTATAAAATAATAAGTAAAAACTTTTTTCTATTTTTTTGGATTGTTTCAGGGTTAATAAAATAAAAATATATTCTTTTTTTAATGCAACATGGCCTCAATAAGGGCATTTTCGGCATTAAGGGGGTTTTTGTTAAATGTTTGATCATTCAAAGGGTGAGACCGTTATTTGGACAAATTACAGGGATTGATTGGTAATATGATCAAACCTTAGGGGAGGTAAATGTAATTAACCCAAAAAAAATGCAGGAGGGAGATATTATACTTTTCTTTTGATTCTTATTTGCAGATCAAGTGACTGGCTGGAATTAAAGTGTTTCTCATGGAATATTTGGTTTTTCCTTGTTTCACCCCATTTTTTCCTCCTTATTCAAAACTTTCAGAAATAAGTCAAGGTTGGTCCACCCATTTGCTTACGGAACTCATGTGACTAGGAGAACTTTTACAACAGAAACAAGTGTATCTAAAGCTATTTGAATTGGAAAACTACAAGTTGTCTGAAATTTGTCTGATTGAGTTGTTATTTGTTCTTAAAACAGGCTATTCATTATAGTCAGACTGACTTGTATGATCCCTATCATATATGGGCAGAGTCGTTGGTACAAGGCATCTGCTTTAATAACTGTTGTCTGGTTTGGAGCTTTTATGACAAGTGATTTCAGAAAGAATGCTCTCTTGTTTGCATATAGAACTTGTTTTAGTGAATCTGTAACTGAGAACAGGATAATAAAACTTTGATCTTCCACGAGTAAGGCTTAAAATAGATAAGATATATTATCTTTGGCTGTATGACCAATTTTGTATTTTGCTTTGTATGGTTTCTAGTAGATGAATTGCATCACAGTTCATACTTTTCATGCCAGAATTATGCTGCAATTTGCCATCTCCGTAAATTGTGGTGCAGAAGCCTGATCTTATTGTTCCTTTGTTTTATAAATTTTTTGATAATAGCACTCAATCAAAAAAATTCCCATTTTCTTCATTCCTGATAACTCGTTGAAAGAAGCAACATTTAAGGCCTATGCTTTCCTACTATTTTTTTTTACTAGCGATCCTTATGAAATCATGATTCAGCATTTCTCTTTGTTTTAGTGTCCTTGCACCAATTCTAAGGTTTTTAATTGATTTAAATGCCCTGCACTTTTATCTTGCAGACCTTGGTTAGATATCAGTTACCTGTAGTCGTTATAGTTTTCAATAATGGTGGTGTTTACGGCGGTGATCGAAGGAGTCCTGAAGAAATCACCGGGCCTCACAAAGATGACCCAGCACCCGCGTCTTTTGTTCCCGGAGCAGGTTATCATGTTCTAACGGAAGCTTTTGGGGGGAAAGGTTATCTCGTTCAGACGCCTGATGAACTCAGGTCTGCACTTGCTGAATCTTTTTCAGCACGGAAACCTGCGGTGTTAAATGTCATTCTTGATCCATATGCTGGTTCAGAGAGTGGAAGGTTGCAGCACAAAAACTGAGGTATAACCAGAATGCATGACCCAATAAGCAGTACCTAAATTCTTATTTGATAAAGCATATGGATGTTTGTTTTGTTCTTTTACATGAACTTTCCAAAGCGATCTGCTCCAGTGTTTTCTGCGACTCAAATGAGGAAAGTTAGTGCTATTGCTCTAGTGTATTCTTATCATGTAGTAACAAATTGCACTTAATGTTTTTATGCTTTCAATATCTAAATACACGTGCAAGTAGAAAGAGGAGCAGCAGCCTCTGCTACAAGCCTACATACTCATTGCATGAGGGTTGCTGATTTACCAAATGTCGGGTCGAAGAAGCAGCTGGTATCCCTGTCTTGTTTTGTTTGAACAAGAAAGTTAGAGAGAGCTAGCAGCTTCAACATTTTGAAGACATCAGTGGCAGGTTTTCAGGACTATCATTAGCTTGTATGGAATACTGTAGATAGTTTTTCTTGGAATGTTTGTTGAGTTCTTTTGCAATTATGTGCTTTCTTTTCATCTGATCTGCACGAGAGAAGAGAACATGATGCACTCCGGTCGGGAACCAATGTTTTAAAAATCGGACCGTTAATTGAACCGGTGAAATGAAAGGATCGAAGTTCAATCGATTGGATCGATTCAATTTCAGTTCAATGAATTTTTAAAAAAATATTTTTATATAAATATATATATGCGCAAAATAAGGCATGTAATGAACTAATTTAATACTTTATATGATGGAAAGTTTATTATTTTTTAATAACTTGGATTTTTAAAAATAAATTTTTTAAATATAAGTTAAAACAAATAAATTTTATCTCAATTTCAATTATATCTAAATCCAACTCAAAAATATCACAATATTTTGAAATTATACAAAATTCACGTTTATGAGAATTTAGATATTGTGAACTTAAATTTTAATTTACGTTTTGGAATTTAGAGATTGCAATTTAAAAAA